CTTTTAGATGCATTAAGAAATAGTAATATTGTATCGAGTGAATTTGGAGGAATTACACAACATATCGGTGCTTTTATTGGTGAGTTTTAAATCAAAATATCATACATATATATCTGCAATTCTTGCAAAATCATCAGTTGAGATTCGCTATCTAGTCTATATCGATAATTTCTTTAATATTATATTGATCTATTCTAGTACCTGTATCAAAATCAATGGTTGTAACATTTATTGATACACCTGGTCATTTAGCATTTGCTGAAATGCGTGCTCGTGGTGCTCAAGTAACAGATATAGTTGTTCTTGTTGTTGCTGCTGATGATGGTGTTATGCCTCAAACATTAGAAAGTATAGCACATGCAAATAGAGCCAAAGGTAAATTTTATTTTTCAAAATAAAAGCAAAAATTTACAATGTTTTTTTATTATTTTAGTTCCTATTGTTGTTGCTATCAATAAAATTGATAAAGCTGATGCAAATATTGTAGGATAACAAATTAAAAAAAAATAATTTGCTTGATATTTCTATTTTACATATATAATAGAAACGTACGGAAACAATGCTTGCTGAACGTGGCCTACAACTTGAATCCATTGGTGGTGATATTGTTGGTGTATCAATTTCAGCTCTAAAAGTAAATAGAATTTGTTTTTTCGAAGAAATTTAGAATTGATTTTGCTGTTTAATAAAGAATATAAATATTGATAAATTACTCGAATCAATCTTAACTGTAGCCGAATTACAACAATTACGTGGCGATCCAAATGGACCTGTTGAAGGTACAATACTCGAATCAAAACATGAAGAACCCACATCAGAAAATACTGAATTCAATAACAATCAACGAAAGGGGTGAGCCATAAGAGGGTAAGCAATTATCGGTCGATATGTTATCTATGTTTTCTTTATTTTTTGATTCTACAGAAATCTTGCTACAATTCTTGTTCAACGTGGTGTTTTAAAAAAAGGAACTATTTTACTTGCTGGTCAAAGTGTTGCACGAGTAAATTTCTTCATGAAAAAGAAAGAAAGAAAAAAGGACTTGTATTCTTAAAATGTTATATTTTATAAATTAAGGTTCGAGCTTTATACAATGAACGAGGTATTCAAATTGAACGTGCAACATTAAGTATGCCTGTACAAGTAACTGGTTGGAAAACATTACCAGCTGCTGGTGAAGAAGTATTCGAAATTGAGAGTGAAGTAAAATAAGAATATTTATTTAGTAATTTTTATATGAAAGGAAATATGTCTTTGTTATTGTTTTTAAATAGAATTTAGCTAATCGTATTGCTGCTCAACGTAAAGCAGATGAAATAGCTCAAAAGATGGAAATTGATGTAGTTGCTGTTACACAAAAACATGAAGAACATTTACAAAAATATCGGTTAGTATATATCAAGAATATTAATAATAAAAAGAAAAACATAAAAGTCTTTGTTATTAAAGTGCGGAACTTCAACGTCGTCGACAATTAGGTATTGTATTTCGAAAACGTGATAAAGGTTCAGGACAACATATTGAAGATAAAGAAGAAAAATTAAAATATTCTATTCTAATCAAAAGTAAGTTTTATAATAATTAAATTGAAAACAAGAAAAAAAGATCATTTATATTTTATATTTTCAGCCGATGTTTTTGGTACATTGGAAGCATTAACAAAAATTATTAATATGTACAATGATACTCGATGTCCACTTGATTTAATTGATGCATCAGTTGGTTCTGTTAATGATGATGATATAGAAACAGCTCAGCTTTTTAATGGTTTGTTTTCAAAAATAAAATGCTACAATCTAAATATATCGATGTGTTTTGTGTTGTTTTTGTTTTCTTTTCTAGCAACAATTTATGCATTTAATACAAGTATAAATCAAACAATAGCACTTGAAGCAAGTCGAAAACATGTTCCTATTCGTACATTTAATGTTATTTATCATATGTTAAATGATATAAAAGATGAATTAACAAAACGTATACCATCAACAGAAGAAGATGTTCAAACAGGTTCAGCAGATGTTTTACAAGTATTTGAAATAGCAGAACGAAATAAAAAAATACCTGTAGCTGGCTGTCGTGTTACAGATGGTTCATTAGAAAAAAAGCAATTATTTAAATTAGTTCGTAATGGTCAAGTTATTCATCGAGGTAAATTAAGTTTGTTTATGGTTTAAGAAAAATTTCGTTATTTGTGTTTGTTTTAAAGATACTTTATCATCTTTAAAGCATCTACGTGACGATGTACAATCAATAAAGAAAGGCGTAGAATGTGGTTTATCATTTACAAATCATGATATTAAATTTCAAAAAGGTGATCAAATTATTTGCTATACTGTTAGACAAGTTATACAAGAAGCAAAATGGGATTTTGGATTTTAGTGAAATTTGTTTGTTTTTCGTTTAAATAATAAAAAAAGCGTTTATGTGCTTATTAAATCTATGCATTATTTTGCAGTCTACTGGTTGATATAAAAGTAGAAGGAGATGATTAATCGATAAAGAATAACTAAATCAGTGATGAGTGAATCAGAGTACAGATTTATTTTTATTTTCCATTGAATTTCACATATAATTTTATTTGAATATGTCAAATTACTAATAAATGGAATGAAACTATTAATCATCGCGAAATTTGAATGAAAATATTATTGTATGATGTTTTGTTTAATACAGGAACTTTCCAAAAAAAGGATTATCTCTACCAATCAAGCGAGTGATATTAAAAACTACTGATATATGGTATGGAGCATGTATATCACTTCGTTGTATATTCTAGAAACAACTAGTTAATTTTGTTAACAAAAATGTCGATTTATAAATATTTAAAATTAGTAAAAGGTAACACATGAAATGCTCGTTAGAATGATAACATGTCGAATCTTTATAGATTTTATTGAATATCAAAGCATAATTTCCAATGACACTAATAAGCTGATTTTGAGAATAATATCGTATATCTAGTGCCTTTTATGCATACGAATACTATGGTATGAGTACTTATGAGATAATAGTTTATTTTGATAATTCTGAATTCTCATCATATCATTGATTATAGAGGAAGAAATCAACATGAGAGAACTTGAATAAGCCACTATCATCTTATGTAGCAAACTGAAATCTTCTTCTTTTCATTAATGCGCTTGTGAATGATCTGTACGATGTTCTTGAAGTTTGATGAGTTCAGAAGCTTGCCAGCCTAAGCAACTGATTTAAATTCAATATGAATTCAGAAAACCAGTACCGCTGTTTACATCATTAATGCGAGAAAATAGCTCCTATATGTTATTTTACACTAGAGACCAGGAAAACAATATGCTATACTTTGTTTATAATTCAACATCATGCACTATGACAGTAGTTAGTTCATATTTCAAAATAATTATGCATACGAAGAAGGTAAGACAATTCGGTTTAAAGATGAGTTTTTTTTTCTATAATTCTAAAATTATGGTTATAATTGATAAGTCAACATCTTTTCAGTTAATATATGGTGTTGTTCTCTTTTTGAGTTCATAGTAAAATGTAAAATAAAATACAATATCAACCATGAATGTCACAATCGATAATAATACATACATTAAAAGTAATTTTGGATTTCCTATTACTTGTATTACTGAAAAATAAAGTACACTACCAATAGCTGATGTAAATAAGTAAAGTGATATAATAATGGATTTCATTCATGCTGATCCATAAGTATATGTATATACTAAACTTTGTATAACTACAAAAAATATTTCTGATTTACCAATTTACAGTGATATTATTATATTTTTGACATGAAGGACAAGGTTTATGATCAAATGAATAATGCGATCTGGTTGAATATGTTAGATCTTAGACCAAGGATGCTCATGGAATTGAAAGAGAAACACATATTAAAACCACAACTAATTCATGATTCAGGCTAGAAATTTATATTAAATATTTTTCCAAATGTAGCTATCAATATGATTAGTAGAAGTAGATCAATATTTTGTGGAAAATCATTTAGTAAAGAACCTTTATGAATGTTCGACAAGCATAGCTTGCTTGTTCAAGATCATCAATGAACTGATTAGGATTTGTTCAGTTCTGTCTTTTACATTTATATTTTCTTTATATGATTCTATTTCTTTTCCACTAGTAAATAAAACTATAATTAAACGTGTAAAAACCATCAATAGAATAAGATATGTACACCACAATGGAATAATATTTTTCGATATTTGTTTTTTTAATAATTGACGAAAATACAGCAAAATGAATGGTCCAACAAAACTAATTAAATAACAATCGAATAATTCTATGCTAATAACAATATTAAATATAATCAAGGAAATAGTTGATAGAGCTTTTACAATTTTGAATTGTATATTTTCTGTTTACGTTTAGTCTCCAATACGTGAAACTCTTCATGATAATTTCTTTTCGTGTAAGTCAACTTACTTTTAACTATAATTATTTTTCTTGTGTATTAGTCAGTTATAAAATGGGCGAACATTACTCTTCACTTCTTCTGTAGCAACTCATACAGATGACTATTGTAAAAATAAGACCTTGTAATTCAACATCAGCTTTAATTGATGGTGGTATACTTGTGAAGACATAAGTGACAAGACTAATAATAGGTTCAACCATAGGCGTCAAATTAAATAAGAAATATTTGAACAAAAAGGGTCAGTAATGTAACTGTTTAATGGTCACAATTGAGTGCACTAGTTCAATTTCATTCGATTCAAAATTCCTCAGACTATTTCCATCGAAATTCACATCAATATTCATATGTATCATAATTATCATTTCGAAAGTGAAAACTTTCAAGGAAAAAGAAAACGTTGATACAATGAAACTGCGTAAAAAAGAAGAAACTAATTGATTAAAAATACTATCATCAATCATGCGTTGCGATGGCAAAAGAAACAGAAAGACCTTGTACAATATATAAAAGTACTGTTAGGTAATTGTTATAATTCAAGGTTGAAGTATTTTCGTTCTAAATTAATGATTTATTTATTGATTCAAACAACCTTGTGGTGCCGTCGATTGACAGCAGCAACTAACTGATGATCTTGATCATCAGTACTACTACAATGATTAGCACTCGCAGGTTCACAATTTAAATGAACAAAAGCACGTTCAACATCTGGTAATGCTTCAATTTTTTGTTCGAGACCAATACCAACATGAACTGCTTCACCAAGACGTAAATCATCAGGAAGAAGAACATCTATTTCAACAAGAAAATGTGTACCAAAATGATATGCTCGTACTGTATCTATTTTGCTTATAAGCGGTGAATGATGAAATGCTATCCAAGTTAATTGTTGAAGAAATTGAGCCGGTGCTGTATAACCAGTTAGATTACGAATATGAACTATAAGTATAAACATATGAACACCAGAGATTCGTATTAAACTTATCAAGAGACTCACGACGAACTTGAGGAATCCAACAAATAATGATATATAAACTGATTACTATAGCACCTAAAAAAACAAAATAACATTTTAAAATGTAATAAAATATGTTTCACTTCATACTTACCAACCGGATCAATGACTGATAACTCTCTTGGTTTAATTTCACCGTCTATCGCTTTAGAGCCTAATAAAATGAATAACTTTAATTACTTTTTTTGGGAATGAATTTTGTCCTCCAAAAACATCTTAGTATAAATAGCAAAATGTTTCATGTGCAAATAGTGATCAGCAGTGGCAAGAAAAACTAAATCAAGCTATTGTTCGAAAATCATATTTAGAATAATTTCAATGTTCATACAATTTATTTTCTTTTTTTATAAATCTTACCAATAATTCCAAATACTAATGCTACTACGGTTGCAACAACATCATTTCGATGATCAGCAGCAAGTGCTGACATTGTTGGTGTCGAAACTCGATAACATAATACAGACAATATAATTTTAATGACTTTTGTAAAGAAAAAAAACAAATAAATACAATAGAAATATCAATCTCGAAGAAAAAAACGTACCAATCGTTATACACATAATTGATATTGCTGCAGGATTGATATCAACCGGCGGTTTTTCATATGCATAACCACTAACATTACGAAAATAGTTAACATCTTCAATAACTGAACGAACTCCTTCTAAAATAACTTGAAGACTAGCAGCACACATGACAACACTAAGTATAATAATGATAATAGGTTCAAGTCGAGTTCGTCCTTAGGAGAAAAAAAAAATTTTATAGAATTTAATTTATTAAGTATCTAGTCAAACCTTGCGGATAGAGGAATGGATTTCGTTTTCTTATAGCTCTAGCCGCCCACCAAATAGCAAAATTTAACATTAAATCGATTGTACTATCAATTGCTGATGATGCAATTGATAATGATTTAGAAATAATAGCAGAAAATATTTTTCCAAACACAAGAATCTATGAAAATGTATTATGAGAAAAACTACAGAATAAAATGATGAGTTATCTTACAATGTTGGAAATAAGGGTTGTTTTAATAAGTATTAGAGTCCATCGTTTATGTCGTTCAACACGTTCATCATGCGATGAACCAGATATATGTCGCTCTTGTATAGTTGAATAATGATCTATTATTTCATCTTGTCTAGCATAAAATTTTCTTTGAAATAAAAAATGATATAAAATCAAGCAGTCGAATTTAAGAATAAAAGAGATGCTTGCCTAACATCTCGTGACAATGCTTTATCTGCAACATGCCGTCCATGTCTATAGGAAACCATTTGTTCCAATGAATATCGAGTATCATCATCTACATAACAAATAAGAAAAGAATATCAGATATATACGAGAACTTTACGAATAGAATGAAATAAATCAGATAAAAATTTTCAAAAATTTACATATAATGAATTATTATTACCTTTTTGGTTATCTTCTCTTTCGAATGATGATGCAGTTTGTTCCGGAATTGGTATGTTAACATTTGTAGAATTCTCATTGATGACAGTTGACGATGGTACAGTTGTTGTTATTGATGATACACGTCGATCTCTACTGTATGATGGTAAAACAAAATCGTAGCGAGGTGGCATTGATAATGTATGAACATCGATTGTATGACGACGCATTGGTTTGTCTGGTGTATTTGGCGATTGCTGCTGGTCCATTGATGACAACTATCAATATTTTCGTTAACTTTTGTTCCATTCACTCATTTACCTAGTGATTCAATATAAAACGGTAAAGCAATTTTCTTTGCTTTATCAGATTCAATTTACAAGATAGCATATTTGTAACCTTTTACAACAGAAATTTTCAGTTCCAGTCGAATAGAAAAGTAAATAATAGAAAATGTGAACGGAAAAGGCAGATTGGCCTTCAATTTAATCTTAAGATTGTTTGCACGCATTATTATCAGAAATTTGATAAGATCATATATATCAGAAAAGAAGCAAAAAGAATTAATAAAGGGCAACAGTCAACTTTCGATTGTGCTATGACAATGACAAATGTAGAATTAATTTGAAATATTTTTATTCGACTGATCTTGTTTATATGATTGACTCATTTCATGGTAGTAGTTCACTAAAGAACAGAAATCGTATCTAAGAACATCGTTAAAACCATCATGACTCGCCATTTGTGGTTGAAACTTAGGGAATAGATAGAGTCATACACAATGTATATTTGGTATAGATTTTAGACCAAACGATAACAATGAAGAGAAATAATCGAAAAAATTAGGTGTTATTATTTATTTTGAGCAGTGCATCGATCCAGTTTTAAATAGACTCAATATTATTCATCTATTGTCTCATCGAGTTTTTTATTCGAATTTCTGCATTCGAAATCACAACTATGTTATCATGGATTGTAAGGAATTTGTTTTTTTCTTTGTTGATCATTATCTTATTTTATTAATGTCATTTAACATAAGTTTTTATTGAATTTTAATCAGCTTTTGTAATTAATCAATATTTTTCTTTATATGGTCTTTATTTTCTTCGTTTGATACATTTTATTTTATTAGATCGCCACATTAAATCAATTTCATTGATAGTATGTATAACTTGGCAATATCATCTAACTTCCTTAGCAACTGTCTATCTTTCTTATCAATTGTTAGCACTAACAGCTTATCTTTAATACTTTGTTCAGTGATATATTGAAACCGAATCATGTCACAAACGTCCTTTGGAAAAAGTCCTTGACGAAATGTCCCTCAGTTATTGTCCCTCAAGAAAAGGTTCTTTAAATCTTGTCCTTTTAAAAATGTCCTCCAATGTAAATGTCCTTGATAAAAAAAGTCCTTTAGAAAATGTCCACATATAAAAATGTCCTTCATTCTTGAACCGAAGAAATTTATATAAAACATGTAAACAACTTAGATGACGNTCTCCATTGCCATGTACTGTATGTCAATGTGTGGCGCTATCACTAAATTAAAATGTATCTTCTGTTTGTTATATGCAACAATGTACTACAATACAAAATTGTCTTGGAGTATGAATAATTCAATCGCATTTATTATTAATTATTTCTATTTAGTCTCTTGAATTCATTCCTGGTCAATGTTGTCCAGTATGTCAAACAAGTATTTGCCGTGATAATAATGATCTTATTTATCAAGTAAAATCAATTGATTTATTAAAAAAAGGAAAAAAAACGAACAATTCTATAAATTCTGTTTTCTTTTTGTTATTAAGAATGGTGATGTTTGGACAAAAAATAATGTTTGTTCACATTGCACATGTAAAAATGGATCAACTATATGTTCAGAAGAAGTTTGTCCAATTTTACAATGTAAATCTGTAAGTAAAGAAATTTATATCGTTTTTCTTTTAAATTTAATTATTAATTTTTGTTAATTTATTTAGAATGAAAAAGTTGTTCGTTTACCAAATAGTTGTTGTGCAATATGTAGTAATCGACATATGTGCAGATTTCATGGTAATAATGGTTATCAGATTTATTATGAACATGATCTTTGGTATACATCAGCATGTCAATATTGTACATGTCGACGACATAATCGTGTTATTTGTAAAAGTATTCAATGTGAACATCAATTTTGTCTTGAACATGAAATTCAAGAATCAAGATCAGATAGTTGTTGTGTGTCATGTCGACAAGCTAAGCAATGTGATTTAAATGGTTATATACTTAAAGTAAAATAAACTATAGATAAATGAACTTGAATTATTCGTTTTTTCTTTTTTAGGAAGGATCTTATCGCCAGGTTGATAATTGTACATTATGTACATGTACGTCAGAACGTCAACCTAAATGTTATTCAAATTGTAAACAAAATGGTTATTCAGTTATTGAATTACAAGCATCAAGTCTACATCGTAATCATACAATTACTGTTACCGATAGTTTAGCTACAATTATAGCCTGTATATTTATTTATCATATTGTCTATTTTGTGTTTAATTTCGCTTTTTTTACAATAATTTTAGATTCAAAATCTGGAGCAACTATGCCTTCATCACAAACTCGTTCTATATTATTTCACTTTTCTTCATCTATAACAACAAAATCAAATGCTGCTGTTCTATTAGGCATTATACATAATTCAACTGGTCAAATATCTTATAGACTTATTCTCATTGATTTTGATTCAACTATAAATAATACAAAAACTAATTATAGTCTTTCAGATGAATTACGTCTTTGGATGCCATTAACAGTTTCTACTCAACGAACTAGAAAATCGTCAATATCAATATTTCAAGATGATAAATATTCAGATCAAATTATTTTAATAAGTCTTATTATTATACTTTCATTGATTTGTTTAATATTAATTTTTATTATTATTTTCTTATGTTATCGAAGAAAACAAAAAATAATTGAAAAACAAATTTATAAAGATACTTTTAAACGACAACCTTCATCATTATCAATAGTAGAAAAATTTCATGCACCTGACTTAACAACTAAAGTAACACTTTTAACACATTTTCATACACATGGACAAGATTTAGGTACTGATGTATAAATTTTATTGTTTGTTTCTTCTTTTTTTTTTTTTTTGTTTGCTTGATTGTTCTTTGTTTTATTGGAAAATATCAAAACAAAAAAAAAAAAGAAAATTATAGGATTTGAAAAAGAAGAAAAAATAACAAAAGATAAAAATTTATTGTCGATCGATGAGAGATTCTAATGTTGGAATTTGTTGTGGTAAAGATTTACGTTGACGAATATCATTTACAATTAATCCACATTTTGAATTTATTTCAAATGGTTCACCAGGTAATAATGACCAATGATCAAATTGACATTGAGGAAATGCTGTACCACTTGTTACTTGACGTAATTCAGCTGTAAAACCAAATGATTCATTAACAGGTAAAAAGGCTTTTATACGAGATAATGTTGTACCACTTAATTCAACTTCTTCATTTATTTGACCACGACGTTTATTTAATGTTGCATAAACTCTACCAATCATAGATGTTGGACATTCAATATCAACAATAAATATTGGTTCAAGTAAACGAGGTTCAGCCATATGTAAACTTGCTAAAAGACATCGACGAATAGCTGGAATTAATTGATCAGGTCGACGATGAGCTAAAAAAAAAAGAAAAAGAAAAAGAAATAAATTTATTATTAATAGATAAAATAAAAATAACATAATGAATTAAACATACCTGAATCTCGATGAATTTCAGCATCAAGTAATTCAATTCTAACACCATAAAGATTTTCTGATGCAAGAACAGCTTCTTGAGTAGTCCATTGAAAAGCAGCAATAACTGCATCTTGAATATTTCCTAAACCATCAACACTTCTTGTTGAATCAACAAGTATATTTGGTCCATTATCATATGGACCAAATGCCCAAATTTTTTTTGTTGTAGCTAAATCCCAACCAAATTCTTCAACTAATATTTTTGATCTTTCTTTTTGATCTTGTTTTGATGATATACGACCTGATTCAATAGCTTCAGCTAAACCATGTTCTAATGGTGATGCACGCATATAAAATTTATTATGTTTATTTGTTGTTTTTGTAAAAGCTATTTTATATGATTCAGCAATTATTGTTTCACGATATGTTACAATTGGTGTTGCTATTTTAAGTGGACAACGTGCATGTGTTTTTTCTAATTCAGTTAAACATATTTCTAAATGTAATTCACCAGCTGTAGCAATAATATGTTGTCCATTTTCATTTAATACTTGTACAAGTGAATCACTTTGAATTAATTTTTTAAGACCATCAACAAGTTTAACATGATCAGTTGGATCTTTTACATCAACAGCAACACGTACAACTGGACTAACAGAAAATTTCATAATACGAAAATTATGTGCATTAGATGATGTTGTTATTGTTGCTGTTTTTATTAAACATTTATCAATACCAGTTAATGCAACAACATTACCAGCTGGTACATGATCCATTGATATACAACGATCACCAACCATAATACCAACACTTGTTATATTTTTTATTTGTAAATCATTTGTTAAACCTGGTTGATAATTAGGACCAAGAATACGTACATTTGTTCCTGATTTAATTGTACCAGAAAAAATACGACCAAAACAAAGAAAACGTGAACCATCTTGATTTGGAATTTTTTTACTTATATAAATCATAACTTCACCATTTGGATCACAAGATTTCATTGAACATGATATTTGATCATCTTGTGGTCCTTCATATAAATATTGTATACGATAAATTTGTGCTTGTATAGGTGATGGAAGATGAAGAATAATTAAATGTAACATTGCTTCACCAGCTGGTAACCAACGTTTCATTACATTTGATATTATTGTTTTATTATCATATATAGTAGAATCAAGTTTAGAATATGGTAATTTAATATCAATTTTTGATAATAATATTTGAATTTCATCTATATTTAATTGAATACATGCATTAAGAATTTGATAAAGTGGTTGAAGAATAAATTGATTAAAACCACGTTTAGAATCATTAATTAATTTTGATTCTTCATATGAAATCCATTTTTTATTTATTGTTGAATAAAATGATTCACCCCATAAATGATTTATATATTTATTTTTAGATATTTTTGTTTTTTCAGAATAAAATTTTGCAAATTGATCTATTGTAAATGCCCAACCTTGTTTACCCGATGCAAATGCAACATTACCTAATTTTGGATTAAAATATTCATCTGAATAAATAATATCATCACTACTTCTATATGTTGCTATTAATGCATTACATCGTGAAATAATATTTGATAATTTTTGATAAAGTTCTTCAATTTCTAATTTTTGTTCTAATATACATCGATCAATTTTATTTATAACTAATGCTAATTGTACACGTTCAGAAAGAGCTTGTCGAAGAACAGTTTCAGTTTGTACAGATACACCTGATACAGCATCAACTACAAGTAATGCACCATCAGTTACACGTAATGCAGCTGTAACTTCTGATGAAAAATCAATATGACCTGGAGAATCAATAAGATTTACTAAAAATCCATTACCATCACGTTTAAGATCACCTATTATAAAAAAACAAAAAAAACAATGAAATATTTTTTTTATTTTCATATTAATTTAATTTTTTTTTGTTTTGTAAATATACGAACCAAGAATTTGATCATCTAATTCATAAAACATACTAACAGATGATGATTTTATTGTAATTCCTTTTTCTTTTTCAGCTTCTAATGTATCAGTAAATCGACGTTCACCAGCTTGTTGTTCAGTAATAATACCTGCTTTATAAACTAATGCATCAGTCAATGTTGATTTACCATGATCAACATGTGCAATCACACACATATTACGAATATTGTGTGACTTTGACATTGTTTCAGCTACAGCTTCAGTTCGTTGTCTCGACATAATTGACAATTAACTTGTTATATTTTATATATAAGATCAATGAAATTGATAGATAAGTTAAATGAAATACTATCTTTTTATTAACATAGAATGTGAAAGAATAGAGATTTAATATTGTTTCAATTACATTTTATACTAAATATACTTTTTCTATGTAATTGTGAAAGAACAATTTTATATTTAGAACAAATTGCGAAATAACATTGACATCGTAATTTCACAAGAACAATGATTTATGTTAAAAATATCCCAACGCAAATATACTTGATAAGTTTCATATTTATTGAAATGACTCAATATGAAAGAAAACATTATTTATGTTTAATATCTCAATTAGTAGAGTTTGTCAATGTTTTCAATTAAAATTTAGTTTGTCAATGCAAACTTCGATAAAAAAACAAAAGAAAAGATCTTTAAGGTGATGCGTTTTTATTAGTAACTTATATCAATATTTATTTGTCTTCGAATTTTCAATGGTAAATAGATGATATGTAAAGTTTAAATATATGATACTGTCAAGTTTTGTTGAGTCATTTTTCAATCGAAAAACAAAATGAACGATGTTTTAGTTTATGTGTGCTCTGTAATAGAATAACATCTGCCTTTTTTTTTGTATTGTAATATATCAAAACTGTAAAATGTCACTTCGCTTGTTCATAACCATATTTTCAGAAATCATATTCGATCTTGATGAAGAAGTCATTAGTGCATACATTACATTATGAATAAGTAAAAATGAATACTTGATCCAGTAAAAAAAAAAGCAAGTACGTGTTACGTTTTGTTAATACAAATGAAAATTAGAGTTTATATATAAATAGAAGAAAATGATTTCGTAGTTTTGTGCCTGATTAGAAACGAATTCTGCCTAAATTTAATTTTGTTTCTGAAATATATCAATTGTGTTTATACTTATATCACTTTCATTTACATATTTCTCTCCTATATCAATATCAAATAGAATAGTCAATTTGATTTATGAAATAGTTCAGCAAGTCCGATTACAGAATAATTGTTTAATTAAAATTAAAGATAGATCTTGAAAAAATTTGAATTATGTAATCCCATTGCAAAGGATAGAACATTCGTGATTTTATATTCAACAAATAGGTATTGAAATTTTCATAGTACGAAACAAACATTTATCAAAGTAACTGAAATTAATTTTTAGATGTCAATTTTAGACTTGAATATTTTCTTAAAAGTAAAATTGGGTATATCATGAAATTTTTCAGTTTTAGGAATCAAACCGTCTCTAAGACATTTATTTTCGTCAAAAAAAATAGATGACTTTTGGAATAAACATACAGAGATGTCAACTAATGATGTTAACGTTTTTTACAGCTAAAAATTAATCAAAGTGATTAAAATAGGATCTCAATATTTTCGAGTGCTAATTACATTATGTAGCAGATCACATTCTTCTCTATCAGAAAAGGACATTCATTTGGTTTCATTTTTGTGACAAAGACAAAAGTCACATGAGAAACAAGATAAATGCAAACTTTGCAATTGATCAACGCTTTTGTGCAATGGAGTGAAGTGTTTTAAAAACATAGCATCGAAACTAAAGATTGAAGTATTATATATGTATATTCTGAATGTGCAAAGTGGTGACTTTATTTTGATAAAATTTTTATCTACTTTATGACTGTGAGAGTAAAACTGAGAACAGTTGAAAATTCTGTCAAATTTGACGTGAGTAAGTTACTAAAAAGAGCTTTTAGCATAGTGTACTCCAAAACTGCATGAGTATTTTAATGGCTACTTACGAACTTGCACTAACTTTTCATGTGATATTCAATAGCACAGTTCGTTTTGTCTATCTGCTTTTGCTGATGAAACAAAGATAACACACTCACACTAGCTACCTATTACCATATTTTAAATTTAAAATATTATATTTAGTAAGATTAGTCAATTCAATAGCACAAGGCTTTCAATATATTTATTCATAATTGTTACCCAATATAAATGTTAACAATCTTTTTACTTAACATATGTTGACTTATCAATCCAGCAGGTAGAGAACATCGGATCGAAAATGTTTGGATCCAGAGTCGGTTGTCTTCAGGATCTACCTGGTGGGATATATATACGTCCTGATTAGTACTAAACTGAAACGTAAGCTTGTAGTCTGATGTTTAGGAAAAATTAACCAAAATAGCGCTAAAAATCTTTTTCTTCTCATCAGAAACGATAAACAGATCTTCTCCAAATAAAATGATACCTATTATATACTTGGAAATCTTGTTCTTAGACGCAATACAGAAACACATCATCATTCCGAAATACAACTATTTACAAATGTAAAAAATAATAAATTTTACTATAATCTTTGCTGTGATTTGAATGCTGAAATTTGCATAACTATGTACAGAATAAAATTAATAAAAACCAATCTGTTATTTCATTCTATAAAATTATTTACGAAAATTTTCTTACTATGGATGATATTCAATGAAATTGACATATGCTTAATTAGTATTTGATTGAACATATTCATTTATTTTTATTTTAAATATTAAAATATATAAGATCACGACAAGAATGATTAGACAAATGAAACTGGCATAAAGTTAAATTTTCCAATAAAATAATTATACACTACAGATTATTTGTGTACAAGAAAAAAATATAACTACACAGCAAACAAACGAACAATAACGATAGTAGTATTGATATTACAATACTTGTTCAATAGTAAAAATCTTAATAAAACATCATAAGAAGAAGAAGAAGAAGAAGAAACCTGCAATTATTAAAACATTCAAAGTTAAGTTTTATTTATTGTATTCTTCAACCATTATTTATTGGGGGTTATTATCGTTGGTCTTTCTATCAAAAGAAATATATATTATATATTAGATTGAATACTAAAATTATAAAATCTTTTACGTAAAACTAGTAGTAAATCTTATTTTCATTTCTCCAAGTGTTGAACTTAGTTTTGATACATTATCTTGTACTTCTTTTAAATTTTCCATATCTTCATTTATTTGATTATGATTTTTCGTCTTATCTTCTTTTTTTTCTTTAGTGGATGAAGCTGATCCATTTGATGACCTAGAAAAAAAAATGTCAAATAAAATATTTGTTTTTTGTTTTGTTTTCAAATTTACTTTTTTGATGCATCTTTCAATGCTCTTATTTGTGCATGAGCATATTCATACGTTGATGCACCTTCAAATTCACGCCACTCTTCTAGTAGAGCTTTATTTTTCGCAATCATTCCTAGAAAACGAAATAGATTATTAACCAAAACTATTAAAACATCGTAAACTATGTAAGTATCCTGTTGTTCTTACTGAATACTTTAGCTTCACGATCTAATGATTTATCAAATATATTTCGTCGTATAAAAAAGACGAACATACGAATCAAATAATAAATATCATAAATAAGACTTATTGGTGGTATAAATGGTGAGCGTGCAAAATATTCACGTGTAAATAAATATTGTTGTGAATACCAAATATTTATTGTATCCTCATGAACTTCATCAAATCGTTTACTTTTAGAAGAAAAGAAAAAAAGTCGAAATCAAAATATGATTGCAAAAATAAACTTAACACAATAGATCACTTTACCTAAACATTGCAATAAGCAGATTAGTAAGTAAAACATTAACAAATAACATATGAATAGCAAGCAATACATGATTTGAAATTGACCATCCAGCATCCGGATTATCTTTTCAATAGTGAAAAACAGTCTATAAGCTATAATAAGCGCCTTTAATTGTACATACTATCAAGATTCATTCTCTCATCACCAACGTTTCCATATAATAAATAATAAACAGGATATGCAATATAACGAAAAACACTTCTACCATCAAAACTATTATCTATAGAACCACCTGCTGGTATTGCAAAACCGTTTACTGTTGGAAAATAAACCATAGAACGAGATGCAACACCATAACCAATCATAACAATTGCAATGATAATCGTAAAAAATAAAAGATCTTGAAGCTATAGCAACAAAATAAATTTAAATAAAAGAAAAAGATATGAAAGCATTTATTTAATACCATTTTTCCAATAGCTACAAGATGTGGTCCAAGATACGGTATAACAATAATAAATGATAAGCAACGAAGCCACCATAGTTCAATATCGTAAGCCATGATTGCTCTAAATAATAATAGAATTTCATGAAAATCATAAGTCTTTTATGAAAAACCAAAAACAAGACTAAAATCAATGCGATTTAATATCTACAAATGAAATTATTTTATAAAAGAAATTCTGTTAAGATTGCTGCTCAAAATCAAAAGTCAATCTTCTTCAATAAAGTCAAAATGGAAGATAGCTCGTGTTTTGGTCTTTCATAAATGACATTACTTTTTATTTAATACTTAATTTGTTTTCCAAAAACTTTAGATGGTTTCTATCATTTTCTACTTGAAAAATATGTTTGTTTCAGAAAAAACTCAAAATCTTTTTCGCTTTTTTTCTGTTAATTTTGTTATCGCACAGCACTGAGATCACGAGAAAAACATTTACGAAGAACGAAACTCAAATTTCTAGGAAAATACTCTATGAGTTTAAGCAAATTATCTTAAAAATCATACGAATTAGAACGTAATTCATTAGAGATCATCCAAAAAATGCTTTTCATCGACTCAATAAAAAAAAACGAGTATTGAAGAATCATTTGAGATGTGATGCGAATAAATTCTGAGATTATTTTCTCTAGTTCGAGACTCAAAACACTAAAATTACCGAGATCGGAGCCAAAAAAAATTGGTACCACACATCTCTAATCTTGAAATGCTCTTTCAAACAAAAAACAATGCAGTGAATAAAATAAAAGTTCAAAGAGAGTTTGAAGTTGCCAAATTAGCTATTTTTAGCTCTTATTTATTGAATATCTCTCGAAAATGTCATCAAATAAGGATGAAAATTTTACCATAGATCATTCAACACAGCTCCGACATGACCTGAAAATTTCATATGATTTGAATGCATTTGGCCTAAAGATAGTTTTTTCAGGGAGAGAGCTTAATTTCAGTAGTTTTTATTTCATTAACTTTAGTTTTCAAAACTAGAGTCATATAGTACAATAGATAATAATATTTTATGTTATATTGAATAATTAAATCAACAAACCTAGCTACAATAAATTTTTCTTCAGAATCTGCATAGTTAAATCGTAGAATTAATCCAATGTAGAAAAGAATAAATGCGAGAGCAGTCATTGATTTTAAAAAATCACGAAAAAATTTTTTTAATTTTCCCCAAAAAGTTAAATTGTCTTGAGTGAAAAACTAAAATGAGAAAGCAATAAAATATCAATAGAAAATAGTTATATTTTAATAAATAATACATACACAATGAGTTTCTTCTATTAACATGCATGACACAAGAATAATTGTTAATATTTCAGTCCAATGTATTGATGGACTTTGAGCTTTTGGTGGCGAGAAATTGAACAAAAGAACATACGAGAAGAGTAAAAGAAAAAAAAGATAAAATATCTAAAATAAATAAATTATTATTCTTCTATAAATTTTATCATTATATGTGTACATACCAAATGATAACAAAATTTTATCAGTAACGATGAATGGAAATGTATTAAGTGATGTGTATATTGATTGAGTGTAAGCTTTGTTTTGAAATAACGAGGATATTCAAGCGGATATGGATCGCTATAATTTATGCCATGTAGTTCTAACCTGAAAGAAATATCATCAAAATAATTTATAATTAAGCTTTTCTATGTCTCATGTACATACTTCAGTTTAGGAGATTCACCAACTTCTAAATCCTGATAAAAATAAAGATAATCATATGATTTTTATTCAAAATAAAAAACTAATATCAATCATAGGTCTTTACTATATTATGCTAAACTTTACATAATTGATATTGATCAATTAAAGTCTCTAGAGTCCAAATAAACATTAATTGCTCGGTAATATCAACTGTAAAATCTAGAATATTTCTGATAAAAGTATTCTTTTTTATTGTTTCAATTTTCAGTATCAATAAGAAATCAAAGAATTCATTAACTCCTGAATCATGTCTTTTTTTTTATAAGTCTATATAATGATCTGTTTTTCTTTTATCTTAGGAGATCCATAATAATCATGATCAAAATCTGTTCTTATACATTAAATGTCAAATAATATCGAAAATAAAATTTTTTCGGCAGTACGTAAGTTACTGAAAGTGTCCATTACTAATGAAAAAAGTTTGTTAATAAATTTAAAGATCAAAAAATTTAATTTACTAATAGTTAATTAAAGCAAAGAGTAAGTATGAAAATAGAAACACGTTATATTGTGATTCACTTTCTTTTTTCTTATTTTCTGTGTTTTCTTGTGCCATGTAGTCAAGGGCTAAATGACAGAATCCTAGAATTCAACGAAATTCTATGGCATACTGAACTTCAGAATTTTACTATTTACTTCTTGCATGTAGTACAAATGCAATTTATGACATAGATGTAGGGTCTCTTGAATTCTATCCTTTCCTTCGATTTCAACTTCGAGTCTACGAATATAATATCATATATAATAAACTGACTATTTTGCAATTAATATATTGATAATTAAAGTGCTGATTATTTCATCTATTTTACTGACTACATAAATAACAGTCAATGATATCTATCATTTATTTAAAAAAAAAGGAAATTTTCTTCTAACCTTTTCGTTTTCCCGATATTTAACAAAACTAGGAGCCATAAGACCAAGTGAAATAAAACCAATAAACAAAGCTAATTGATTCGTCATAGATTTTTGTTCTGGATAAAGTTTGTCATACCAAATGTTATTCATACCTTGTACACAAGCTGGTGCTGCAATAAATCGTTCATCATTCGCCCCAGAAGCAACCTTAAATAGATATTAGATTCTCTTTTTTTACAAGTTAGAAGATATTATGAAATATACTTGAAGACAAGTAACATATCCATAAAGTTCATTTTGTTGTATAACAAGTTCACAAGCTCGATCTGCATCGTGATCATCACATTTATCGAGACAATCGATTGCATATTGTTCAAAATATTTAATATTTTCTTCATACCTATCTTTTAATTCACCATAAAGTGCTATCGAATAATATTTTTTTAAAATTTTTGTTGCAATCAATGCTGGACATATTCGATATTTCAACTGAAATAAAAACATTTTCGCCATATCAATACGATTCATTAGGACAGCCCATAAAAATAAATCACGCATTATATATTTCTTTGCTTTTTGTTTTTTTTGTACAATGGATGAAAATTTGTTATTTTCAGTATCTCTAATTGTATCCTTTTTTGATTGTGCAGAATTTTGCATTAATCCGCATTTTATTCGATCTTTTTCTTCATCTTCTTCATCTCTAAAATAGAGCTTATGCATATAATCACCAATAAGATTCTCAAGAACTGTATTAAGCGATTCAACAGAATCAATTTTTTTGCCAGTATCAGCTCCACTAATGTCGATAAAATATTTTAAATGAGTTTCGACATTCTAGAAAAACAGATCATATATATTATCTGTAAAAAAACAATCACTTTTTCTAAAGAAATCTCATACCTCTAATTCATCCTCGTTGTAAAGCTTTGTGATAAACTTTTCATATCGATCAATTCCTTTAATAAATTGGTTTGATGGAAAGAATATATCAGCTGGATCAATTCCTAATTTGAGAAATTCATAGACAAATAATGGTAAATCCTTTCGTAAAGCTTCTAGAAAAGCTTCTTCTAGATCCTAAAACAAAAGACACCAACAATATAGAAATATAAAAATGAATTAAATATGAATACCGGAATATTATCTAATGAATTTTGGAAAACAAATTCCTTAGCTACATGTATACAATTCCACTCCATTGCTAATTTAAGAAATGGTGTTTGTTCTAAAATGCTAAGTTGTTTTTTTTTACAATAATCAAATTGATTATTATGTTACTCACTAATTTGTTCGTCGTCATCATCTTTTGATGATCTTTCAAATGCTACAAAATATGAAAAAATAAAATGCTAGATAAGAATCGAAATATACGAAAATAATTAACTTACATTTACAAATACTTTCAAAAATTGTTTCGGATAAATCACTTTCTGAACCTAAGTTAAATACGGTTATTTGAGAACGAACAGCTGGCTGTAGACAATACATAATTTGATCAACTGCACGTTTTATGTTTTCATCAGAATCATTACGTTTGGTGTCTGATTTTGAATGTTTTTTCTGATTTGAACCATCGTCATGAGATAAAATACTTTGTAAATCTTCTTCAAGTTCATTCTTATATTTGCTAAATAGCTTATGAAGTCTTCAACGAAAATTAAAAAGAAGAAACCAATTAAAAAAAAACTTGAAAAATACATCATTCACATATTTTTACTGTTTTACAGATGAATCAACATGAAGTTCAGCATGTATATCAATTCTGTAAAGAATGAATAATTAAAGCGAATAATTTTAAAATTGTTTCTACCTTTTTTTCGATCTTATTAGTTTTTCATTATTTAAAATCTCTTCTGTATCTTCACTTATTCTATTTAATTCATCGATTTCATATGGCACTTTACCTTGTGCAAAATCATTTTCGAAGTGTTTTGCACGCAATAACCAACGGCTAAAAATATCGGCCACGCGACCACTACCCTATATGTAAAAAATTTGCGTGCAATGAAAAACAAAACATTTATAATTCATTTCATTATCTTACATTAATAATAACAACAGGAATATTGTTTTTTAAATCATTATATATATTTGCTATAGTATCAAAGCCACCTTCAACTACGATAGTGACAACAGGAGCTATATATGTAGATAAAATACAGAATGAGTTATACACAATAATAGAGAGAAATAACATCGTCGTTGTAGTCTGACGAGGGAACATCCCCAACAGTCCGATCGCTTTTCACTTGGTTCTATTGCCATTTGATTGGTCTTGATGAGTAGTGAAAAAGCCTGTTTTGGTTTGGTTTTCCGGTCTTCTGTTATCGACTTACGGGCATTTTACTGGATTTTTGGCCTATGAGCATGAGATTCCATGAGAACCTAAATGATTGAATTTCGAGCTGAAATTTTGCCCATAGACAGCTCTCATAGTCATTAGAAAATTCCCAAAGTTTGCGCCAGAACAAATATACTCTTACCGAAATATTAGCTTGTATCGAAAATATCCTTGGTTCGAAAAATAGTGGAAAAGAGACTTTTTTTAAAAATGTGAGTATCTCGATAACAATACATTCGTTCTAGCTAAAACTTTGGGAATTTTCTAGTGACTATAAGAGCTGTCTATGGGCAAAATTTCAGCTCGAAATTCAATCATTTAGGTTCTCATGGAATCTCATGCTCATAGGCCAAAAATCCAGTAAAACGCCCATAAGTCGATAACAGAAGACCGAAAAATCAAACCAAAACAGACTTTTTCACTACTCACCAAGACCAATCAAATGGCAATAGAACCAAGCGAGAAGCGATCGGACAGTTGGGGATGTTCCCTCGTGAGTTAGCTAATACAGTGCAAATGAAATCATTTCTTATTTTACATTGTATGCTCGTAAGTAATTTGTTTGTTAAATATGAAACATAACAAAAATGGTATATAGAAAATGATTGACAGAAATGAATGTTGTTTTACGAATAAGAATAGTAGAGGTCTGAAATGTGCATGGTCAGATAAGTGAAGATTTGTGACAAAAAGATAAAGACGCCGTCGTATTAGGTAGAGATATGTACAACTACCAGCCTTACGCTGCAGGGCATGCTGTAAAAAAAAGGGCAGAATAATAAACCCTCACTATCTGTTTATTACCATGACATAAGCCATTTTAGGCTTTTTTAGTGTAGTCTTCCTTTTCATAAACTGCTTTAATTCATAAATTGCGGCAAAAGTTTGTGACACGTTGCAAATTCATAGTCTTATACTGTCTTCTGTGTTAATAAATCTTTTCGTAGGTATATGAACGGAATAAATTCTCTATGGGAGTGTTTATTAGTCTATGGGTGTGTTTAAAAAGTGCGATAATAAATCCTTCATCTAATGGATTATTCAGTTCAAAAAATCAAAACAAGTTTATGAACGCAGAAAACAGTACAAAGATATATGAATCTGCATCTGATGTCAGACTTTTGCCAAGATTCATGAACAAAAAGAGTTTATATAATGGTAATAAACAGATAGTGAAGGGTTATTATTCTACGCTTCTTTTTTACAATGTAGGTTAGAGTAAGGATGAGAAAATTTTTCTCAATCAAAATGAGGAATACTAAAAACGTTTACCCTGTATACCTTTAGTATTGAGTAGGATCTGTTTGAGGGAACTACAAGGAGAAAAAGATCTTAACTTCTCACTCTACATAATACCATTTCTTTGGAATCATTTTAGATTAAATATCTGCATACTGTGAAAATCATTCTTTGTCTGTTGGTTTGCCATGTATTTGCATAGTTGTGTCCGAAAATCTCCAATACCAAAATATCGATATCTTCCATCATCTAACATCAAGTAATGACTTTGATTTGTTTCAAGATAACATTCACCATTTCTCAATTTAGAATCTGCTTCTTCATTGTTTGAATCTTCGTATCTATTTGTAACATTCTAGAAAACAAAGTACATATAAATATAAATATTTTTAATATACAAATTTATTAAACTTGATGTTTGTCTTCGTTTATGCCTGTTAATTTTTTTATATTTTTAATACTTCCCCATTTACCAATACCAATAGCAGTCATCTTTCGGTCTGGATATTTTGATTTAACTTTTCTAATTGCTTGTCCAATAAGTTGAACAATACCAGCATTATATCCAGTTGTAATCATCCATACGTCTATTAAATAAATAAATTCTAGTATTTTATTTTATCCATTATATATGTACATATATACATACTTGATTTAGCAGCAACATTCATTATACCCTTAATAACATTTGATTCAAGTCGATCGTTTAATTTAAAATATTTTGCGCCACCAATAATTGACATAATCAAAGTCGGTGGTGGAATTTTCCAAAATTGTAAAAGAAGTTTTGCAACTGTAGCTAGTGGTGTCTCTATATCAAGACGAACATACTAAACGAGTAAAAACAAAAATTAATAAATAAAAGAATCTTAAAAATTTTTCATACTGAAGCGTTCTCATAGAGTGTACCAAAATATTGTTCGTTGAGTATTGTTTTCGTATGGATCGATATATTCCATTTGTCTCCTTTTTGACCTGTTTGGTCTTTATGAAAACCTCTTTTTTGATTGCATACACAAACGTCTTCATCATCACTATTAAGAAGAAAATAAATAGATATGCAATATGATAAACAATTAAAATAATAAACAAACGATTTCGGACAGAATTTCTGACAAATTCGATAATGAATATTTAGCTTCCTGAAATCTTCAGGCAAAGTTTCATATTCAAACTAAAAAAATAAAACAATGAAATCCAATTAAATTTACTAAATAATAATCTACTTGTACTGGACGTTTAACAGGATAAGTTCGAGATGTCATTTAGTTTACGTCGTATGACTAAATCGTTATGTTTTTAGTTACAGTTAAAACTAAAATTTTTTCTATTTCTTTACTTTTTCTTATTAATTTTTATGTTTGAGAGTTATATAGCAACCATTTACTTATTGATTCTATATTACCGTAGAAACGAAAAGGAAGAAAGAAGAAATCAAAAACTGCCTGACTAACATAACAGTAGAAACAGTGCTTACTCTTGTAATTGCGTTCTTTTGTACAAACATTTCTTCTCTTCTCGAAAAGATTTTTCAGATAAAAATACATTCAACAGAAAAAAACAACTTTTGTTTTCAGAAGAAAGAAAGATACTAAAAAACTATTGATGCTATACTAATCTAAAAGAAACTTGTTGTATTATTTTTCAGTTCATCATTTATCTCGAATACAATTAACAAAATATGCCTAATGAAAATATCGAAAATGAAGTAAGGTATGATTTATTTGTTTTGTTTTTATTTATTTAAATTCTAAATTATTCCTTCATTGTTTTTTTATTTTTAGTTTATGCAACTTATAAGAAAAAAATTTATTTTGTTTATAGGACAATAATAAATTATGGAATACATTTAAAATTAAGTTTAGCCTTGACGAATTAGTATTTCCAGATAATAAAATCTATGGTACCATCACCGTTAGTCCCAAAAGAGCTCGGAATCTTATTAAAAAACTTGTAGTAAGTATTTCTTTTTTTAGCTAAAAAAGATGATATTGTGAAAAATTCTTGAATAATAAAAATAACCGTCGAAGTAAAATATATGATTTTCAATCGATCAAAATGATACATTTTATTAGTTTTTTTCCTTTACAGTTGGTCGTTGATGACTGGAATAAAACTGAATTTGATAGTAAATATCGATATATATCGGCATCTGGCTTTGATCTAACAAAACAAAAAATATCAGTACGCATTGATGCTAAGCCGCTAAATTTAAGTTTACCGGATAGAAAGTTCGAAAACACTCAAGTATGTTATACCTTTTACTAAAAAAGTTTTTATCTATTTATCTATAATGACAGTCGTTTTCGATTATGCGTAAAATTTGTTCTCTCACGCCAACTGTAAGCATTCAATGGTTAAATACAGATCCCAAACCTAGTATTATTGTTGAATGGTATCATCTTGGTAATCCAGCAGTTAAACAATATGTTCTCCTTTTAGATAATAAAGAAGTACATTATGTATGTTTAGTGATTAAATAAAAAGAAACATTTTCTATTAATATATCATATAGATACGTGATCCTTCAAAAGCTGATGTGTATAAAGTCTGTATCGACAGTTTTAAATTTGACAACGAGCCTACTGAGCATACTGTTCAAATTATAGCAAAGCTTAATAGTAAGTCATTAGTTTTTGCTTATTATTATGATTGTATTTTTGCTATTTTTATTTTTAAAGATGATAAAGAACCATATCAATCAGATCTTTTTAAAGTTACTATCCCTAATAAAATGACAAAGAATACTCAAGTTATAGCCATTTCTAAATTAGAAGGTTTGTTTGTATCTTTTTTTCACTTTTTTTTCTATTACTCTTTAACTTATTGTTCGATGATATTTCTAAAGAAAAAACAGAAAACGAAGAAGAAGAAGAAGAAGAAGATCAAAAGAAATCATCACCAACAGTGACTACTCCATCTGCAAATAAACAGTCTGCAAACAAACCACAACCACGTGTTCTAAAATCACCGACCCAGACGACACAGAACCGAAAATCTGATACAAAATACATAAATCTTTCTTGCGGTTGCCAACAACCACATAAAGAATTTCCTGGAATAGGTCATTATCTTGCAATCAATGATGATGATGATATTATGCAAAAAAAATTCTCTCAATAAATGATAAGCAATTGTATATAAAACAGTTTTATTTTACAACTACTTTTCTACATGTGAAAATAAATATCTTTCACAGTATGTTTTGAAAATTTGAATGTGATGCAACATATCTTAAGAAAATAGATGAAATGCGATAATTGTTTTGTGAAAAATGAAAAGCCATCTGAAATATTTTGATCAAAGATCAGGTTTCACACAATGATTTTAACATTGATTGCTAAACCTTGAATGCTTTCGACCATTCAAATTATCTTAACAGCAAGTATTTTACTATTTTTTTCGTAGTTAAATCATACATTTCTCAGCAGTTTTTAAAAATTATAATAAATTATGAAAGGAATACTTTTTATATGTTCTAGATCATTTTGTATACATCTTACTAACTAGTTTTGATAGATCAAACGGCTATATTCTTTTCTTTTTTTTTTTTTCTTTTTCAATAATTGGCGACGATAGACGCTGGAGCCACAAGGTGTGGGTAGGCTCTACTAGATATAAAAAATTTCTATTACTATTTAATTTCTATTATCTTCAAACAGATGTTGAATTATTAGAAAGTCAGTTCACATATTATCTTATAAATACACAACAAGCTAGTAGAACTATGGTTTTTGAATACAGTAGATTGTTATCATGACATTTGAGAATTTCCGTAACAACCGCTATCGCTGAACAATCCTTCAGTGTTATGAATCAAATAAAAACATTACGTTGTGGAATGATTCAACAACCTTTAAATCATGGTATTATGTCCTATAGCCATAAAGAGAAATTGTATTTATTTGGTTTGAACAGCATCTGTCTTGGCTTCATTTTTTAAAAATCAGCATAGAAAAGAGTTTTGTTTTTGGTCATAAACAACTTTATATCTTCTAAGCTTGTTTCTTTATCGGTTTTTATAAGTAGGATTTCTCTGTTTCTTCGTTAGTCCCTACTTTCGTTCGAAATAGTATAAAGTATTAGATAGTTATTCTACTTTGCAATCGCAAAGTCTCGTTTATTTTGTCGATTTTCAATAATATTTAAACTTTACATTTTAGTAGTTGTCTAGACAAGGATAAAATATGTATAGAAGGTTTTCTTGAGTAGTTTGATTAGAAAAAAAAATATAAAGTCAAAAAGTAGAACTGAATTCCTTTCATTGTTTCACAAACTATTCAAAACTTTTATTACAGAGCTGATTCAAGAAACTTTTGGAGAAATTCTATCTCGTAGTGAAGAATTGGGACTGGAGAAATTAACAGAATTCCATTTAATGCATTTTTTCAACAATGAAAGTGTTCTCAACATATCTCTTTGAAATTCGTAAACATCTAATTGAGAACTCTCTCTGTGCCGAAGTATGTACTGAACCCGAGCCCAGACCAAACAGCTCGCGCTTTGACTCTGTCAGATTCTGTCTAGGCTCGATAGGACTTGGGCTCAGCCAGACTCTAAACAAGTCTAACCGAGTCCGATCAAGCTTGAAGGAACTTTTGGAAGTCCAGCCGAGATCAATCGAGCCTCAACAATGTTTACTAAGTCCGAGTCCGAGCTACTTGGACTCGGTACATGCCTACCTGTACCGATGTCTACCGAAATTCACTCAGTGATACGTGATTGAAAAAACATCTCTTTATCTACTGAATCAGCTAACATTATCAAATATTTACTCCCATACTCAACGCATCTATCTACAAGAGATCGAACGACCTTCTAATAAAATAAGTCATAGTTTTTCTTTTGTTCTGAATCAATATCAAAATCTTTTTTTTTCCTATTAAATGATAATTCAGACAATTATATTACTTATTGCTCAATATTTGAAATAACAGGTGATCAAACATTTTTTGAACACATGCCAGAGTCGCCTGTACTCGAACAGACGGAGATAAGAAGCTCAGATTTTTGTTAGATAGAGTGGGATTTCTATTTTAGAATGGCAGGTATCACTGACTGTTACTTAGGTATTAGTAGTAAAATCGTTTTGATGTTTTCACTACTACGAGAAAGAAGCTTGTAAACAGTTTTAGTAGTAAACAAATGATCTCTCTCAATATCGACATGTGCTTTGAAACTAAAATCATGTCCAATTTGTAGGTTTGATTGAGTTTTACTTAGTGGAATAAAACCAACTCAAACATACTTCTTATTACAGAGATCTAGTTTCAGAATATTGTGTTAGCATAAATTTTGAAACTGTGTGCAATAGAAAGTTTCACGATTTCGACTATCAGATTGATTTCGAGCAATTATTTCTATCAGCTTTGTCTGAATATTATTGTAGTCCCTGAATAGTTCTCTTTCTAATTGTCGAGTGTGTTGTAATTGATTGTGATAAAGAGATATATTAGATGATAAGGTTTTTGAACTATTGATACTGAAACTTTGAAACAGATAGTATGCTGTCAGAAATAAATAATAATAATCGAGCTTCATTATGATTTTTGTATATAACAAGAGCCGATATAATTGTGTACATAAACCTTAACTCTCACCGGTCAGTTTACAGAAGTCAGAGAGCAAAACTTTCTTTTACTGCATATCTGTTATGAATCCATCATGAGGGTGAAAAAAATGGTTTTTCGGAGCAGAAAAGTGCTTCGATACCTAATGATTTTATTTTACAATTTGCCAACATCCGACTATTATGAGTCAAAAATTTCTGAAATTCATGTTTCCTCTTCGGTTATCATAATGCATCAACATTTTGTAGGTTTTTTATTTACGCATCAAGTAATTCAAGAAAGCAAAAGATATAAATACGTATAAGTTCTTTTCACGCTGCTCTTCCTATGTTTAAAACAACATTTTTTTTCTGACTAGATTTAATCTTTAGAAGTGCTTAAGCACGAAAACAAATCACATGCAGAGAACTAGCTTCATTGTAATGCGAATCATTACTAGTGAGATGTGCTCTATGCTCGATACCAATACGCTGTAAATTTTAAAAAAGTTCTACTTTCTAGAAAATTGAGTTAGAAAAAGCCAAAACATTTTCAAATTATGATTAATCGGCAAACGATTGTCTACTTTCTAGAAAATGCTTGATTTTTCGAAAAGCAAAATTAGAATCTGATTCTCGGAAAAAATTATGATATGACAGAGTATATTGACAATTGTAGGCAAAAAACAAGTTTAAAACTGTTTTGTTTCTTTTACTGGCGACTATTGCCAAAAATCAACATTCTTATTTTTTATTATCCGAATCCACCTAATAATTCTTTTTTAATGACACAATATACAATAGGTCTACAGAGAAAAGTTAACCACTGATTGACTTCGACTTAATCTTTTTAAATAAATAGGAAAAAAAGTCTTACGTTCGTATGACCTATTGAGACATTGTGCATGAATCCATTCATCTTCTCAATGAAACGAGTTTTTTTCTTATGAATGCATAAAAGTGTGTTGAAATATGTTAAAGTAATTATCAAATTATCAAAACATCATATATCATCACAAGAAGTAGAACCTTTCTGAAATATCAGCTCAATGTTGCCACATGGCAATATCTGACTAGAAAGTATTAATAGTCAGGCTAGAGCGTAACATCTTTTGCGAACTAGTAATATTTTTTCCAATAAAGCAATAGCTAATTTGAAGAAGTTTAGTATATTTTTCATGAATTTTGCAGAAATTCAAAGTGATTTTTTTACTAGTACATAGCAAGCAGTCGGCAAAATACTTCATTGTAAGATAGAGTTCGTATTCTGTCAAACAACAGGCTAATAGTGAGCTTCCTATAATCTTCTGTTCGAATACAGTTGAATCTTATGCTTATCCAAGAACTTTTGTAACATTCGTTAATAGGATTTCAATCGAATATTTTATTAATCATAGTCGCTTAAAATTAATATGAACTCTATTAAGAATAATTAAAACCCGTAATAAACAAACAGAAAAGTGTTAAAAGCGAGGTTCAAAAATTAAACTTTTCAAATTATGTTTGTGAAGAAACGAAAGGAATAGAAAAAAAATCAATACACAAATAAGATCATGATTATAGAACGTGAGTAAAATTTGAATCGAAGACCAAAGTTACAGTAAAAATGCGACAGTTAGATAAACAAATAATAATAATAAATTACGTTCATGGAGTAGTCGGATTTTGCTTTTTCTAAATAGAAAATAATTCATTTAGTTTTTAATTTTCTAGCGAATGATGAAATATTTTACCTCAATTGCACCTTCCAATTGTACGTTCAATTCTTCAACAATCCTTTCCAATCTGGTTAAACTCCTTTGCACTTGTTTAAGACCATTGGTAGTATTATTTAAATCATTATCATCTGTAGTCGTATCGTCTTTATTATCTGAATCTGATCCAGATTTTGATCTAAATTCATTTTAGCATATGTAATTTTTAAAAACGTTTCGTTTTGTTTATTTTACTTCATAGATGCAGTTTTCAATGCTTTTACTTCATCATGAGCATATTCATATGTGTATGCATCTTCAAAGTTATGCCATTCTTTTATAGTATCTCTCTTTTTGGGAATAATTTCTACAAAAAATTGTCGATTAAAACATGTTTAAAGAAATTTTCTTTATCCTTTATTCTTACTGAACACTCGAGTATGTTGATATACTGGTGTTTCAAAATAATTTCGTCTTATGAAGAAGACGAACATACGAATCAAACAATAAATATCATAAATAAGACTTATTGGTGGTAAAAATGGTGAACGTGTGAAATATTCACGCGTAAATAAATATTGTTGTGAATGCCAAATAGTTCGTGTTTCTTGGTGAACTTTCTCATATCGTTTACTTTAAAAAAACAACCAAAATATGATTCCAAGAACAAAATTAACAAATTAGATGATCTTACGTAAACATGGCTATAAGTAAATTAAATAATAAAATATTCACAAACAACATATGAACAGCAAGTAGTACATGATCTGCAATTGACCATCCAGCATCCGGATTACCTTTTCAATAGTGAAAAACAGTTTATAAACTATAATAAGCACCTTTAATATACATACTATCAAGATTCGCTAACTCATCACTAAAGTCTCCATATAAGAAATAGTAAACAGGATATATAATCTGACGAAAAACACTTCTACCATCAAAACTATTATCTATAGAACCACCTGCTTCTGTTGTAAAATTGTTCACTGTTGGATAATAAACCATAGAACGAGATGCAACACCATAACCAATCATAACAATTGCAATGATAACCATAAAAAATAAAAGATCTTTAAGCTATAAAAACAAAATCAATTTAAATAAAAGAAAAATATATGAAACCATTTATTATTACCATTTTCCAAATAGCTACAAGATGTGGTCCAAGAAATGGTATAACGATAATAAATGACAAACAACGAAGCCACCATATTTCGAGATCAATAGCCATTACAACTCTGATGAATATGCAAGTAAAAAACTGTTTAGATATTTTTAAATACAAACATTTAGATGCTGATATAAATGAATGAATTGTCGTCGAATTTCAAGGTAAAAGTTTATCAATGTTTGCAAAAAGAAAACATTAGAAATGAATTCTCAACTATGGTTTGGATTTTTTTCCTTTTATCAATACTTAAATGCTATAAATATGTTTGTAGCAATGAATCGATAATTGATTTAATTGCAAGAAAAACAAATCAAACTTTTCTTCTATGATCTCGATTTATTTTGCCCAAGATGCATAGAATTTCTATCTTGTATAGTCTAACTCAAAGAAAAATTAATTGTCATTCCAATTCAAATTAGAAATAATAATCTTTTACATTGTTTTTAGAAAAAGTTCAACCAACAAACCTAGCTGCAATAAATTTTTCTTCAGAACTTGCATTCGCAAATCGTAGAATTAATCCAATGTAGAAAAGAATAAGTGCAAGCACTGTCATTGGTTTAAAAAAATCACGAAAATAACTTTTTAATTTCCCAGGAACGGTTATACTGTCTTGAGTGAAAAACTGAAATTAGAGAACAAAATCATTAATTAAAAATAGTTGCATTGTAACAGATAATACATACATAATGAATTTCTTCTATTAACATACATGAAACAAGAATAATTGTTAATATTTCAGTCCAATGTATTGATGGACGTTGAGCTTTTGGTGGCGAGAAATCGAACAAAAGAAAATACGAGAAAAGTAAAAGAAAGAAAATGTAGGTTATCTAAAATGAATTGATTATTATTATTCTATATATTTTATCGTTATATGTGTACATACCACATGATAACTAAATTTCATAGGCAACGAGACATGAAATTTTTTCAATTTACGTACATAAACAATGAGTGCAGTCTCTATTTGTGATTTAGGAATGTTTGGATATTCCAGTAGTTTGGGATCACCATAATTGATACCATAATCTCGAAACCTAAATAAGAAATTTTAATGGTTATCAGCTTTTAATTATTTTAGGACTTTTTTTAACTTACTTATATGACATATTTTCTTTTTCTTTGTGTTTCTAACAAATATAAAGATATTTATGAGAAGTGTATTGAACACATAATCAAATAATCACTCTTAAGTTTTTTTAGATTTATTATTAATTTCAGTATGTAAGTATCATTTTTTAACATCGATTCTAGATTAATTATTAAAATTTTCTCAAATAAATAAATTTTTCTATAATTGACTTTATTCGAGACTTAACACAATAGAACGTATTTTACAACTAATACATGCAAAAATACAACTTCTTTTATATTTCGATACCTAATTGGTCAACTATCGACTGAGACCTTAACCAAAAGAACTGTATGATTTTCTGACACTTTCGAGGCACAGGCAGAACGTGTTTATGCTAGGGTGCGTTGAACATTTTTTTAGTAAGATTCTCATCTGGAAGTGAAAAATGAGAGCAGATGGGTCTTTGAATACCATTCAGATGAAATACAGTTGGTCTCTTCTCTATTGACTTCATAGTTTTCAACGTTTATCAGTGATGGCGATCAAAAAGAATTCGAAACTGTCGAAAAAAGAAACCATGTATTTGAAGATATATACGAACATTTATGTTCATTGAAATGCGTTCTTCCAAAGAAGAGATTCTGATCTGTTTTATCGGAAAAAGTTTCCTCAATAAGCAGAAATGTTTCATAAAAAAAAAATGTCGCATTGTAAGCTTCTTCACTGTTGAAAATGTTTTATAGGCGTTTAACTTTATTCACATAAAACAAAGAAAATCTTTGACAGAGTCTAGTTAATCTAGTTCAGATTTTTTGTATAAACTCATTGACAATGCATGATCCAATATTTGTATAACACTGAATGTTTCCTCAAAAACATTTTCTAAGTCTGTTTGATTGAGAAAATGTTATTATTAGCTACCGAAACCTACAATAAAGGCTGGAGTTTATGCAAAAAATGTGATGCGTTGCTAAAATCTATCAATCTCATGGAAGAAGAAAAATTTTGGATCTCCGTTATTTTAAGAAGTTCAAGTTTAGGATAAGCTTTCGCTTTTTCAGGTCTTGTCGTTTCGCCGTTTATGCTTATTGAACACAAGTTGATAGTCGATAAAATGTGAAGTGGTCTTGTAACAACTCATCATTTATTAGAAGAAAATGAAAATTAAACAGTAATAGGAAGTTTTTACAATAATTAGAGTCTATATAACCTTTTATCTACACAGTATAAGCTGAACTCGAGCCTGCCAAAGCCTCGTGGCTTCACCGTCTATATTTCGAAGTCATATCTATTGTCAAAGAAAGCAAGTATCCTGCTTCACTTCTCTAATCTTGAATATCTCATATTAGGCCGAAATCATATTGCTCTTGAAAAATTAAACGTCACAAGATATGGAAGATTAATTTTTTAATAAAGATTTGTTCTAACCTCTTTGTTTTCTCGATACTTAACAAAAACAGGAGCTAAAAGACCAAGTGAAATAATTCCCGAAAACAAAGCCAATCGTTGATAATAATTTGTTTGTTCTGGATGGAGTTTGTCATACCAAATATTATTCATAGCTTGTACACAAGTTGGTTCTGCAATAAATAATTGATCATCCGCATCAGAAGCAACCTTTAAATAGATATTAAATTCTTTTCTTTTACGAGTTAGAAGATAGTATGAAACATACTTGAAGACAAGTAACATATCCATAAAGTTCATTTTGTTGTAAAATGATTTCACATGCTTTATGAACATTATTATCATCACATAGATCTAGACATCTAATTGCATATTGTTCAAAATATTCTGCATCCTTTATATAATCGTTTTTTAAATCACCATAATTTGCTATCGAATAATATTTTTTTAAAATTTTTGTTGCAATCAATGCTGGACATATTCGATTTTTCATAAAAGATAAAAGGACTTTTGCCATATTAATACGATTCATTAGTATAGCCCATAAAAATAAGTCACGCATTATATAATTGTGTTCTGTTTGGTTTTTTGCCTTAAGTAATAAAGATTTTTCATTTTTAGTATCTTCATAGTTATCTTGCTGTGACTCTACAAAAACTTCTATCAATCCCCTTTTTATTCGGTAGTATTGTTCGTCTTCTGGTGTGTCAAAATAGAGTTCATACATATAATCACCAATGAGATTTTTAAGAACCAGATTAAGTGATTCAACTGTATTTATGATGCTCTTAGTATTATATCTATTAGTTTCGATAAATTCTTTTAAATGAGTTTTAGCCTTAGCCTAAAAAAACAAATTATATATTATTTGTAAAAACGAATAATTATTTTTTCTGAAATAAATTTCATACCTTTAAATCCATATGATAAAGCTCTTCAATAAATATGGCATATTGAGATCTTTCTTGAGAACGAGGTTTTTTTGGGAAGAATATATCAGCTGGTTCAATTCCTAATTTAAGAAATTCATAGACAAAATTTGGTAAATCGTCTTTTAAAGCTCTTATAAAATATTTATCTTTGCTCTAAAGAAAATGATCAACAAAATATTAGATATAAAAGTGAAATAAATATCAATACCAAAATACTATCTAATGAATTTTGAAAAATATATTCTTTTGCAATTTTAATACAATCCCATTTCATTGCTAAAGCAAGTAGTCTTGTTCGTTCTATATTTTGATCCTTTTTTCTAATCTTATTAAGATCTGTTGGATCATCAGTTATTCGTTTCTGAGTATCTAATTTTGCCAATCTTCTTCTATCCATTTCCAATTGATCTTTCCTTTCTTGTTCTTTCATTTTCGTTAATTTTTCACGTGCTTAAAAGAAAAAGCTTGAAATTAAAGACAACAAAAATCCATTTGAAATTTATTCACTTACAACGACAAATACTTCGAAAAATTGTTTCTGATAAATTAGTATCTGAATTTAAATCAAATACAGTTAAATGAGGACGAACAGCTGGTTGTAGACAATACATAACTTCATAAAGTATTTCATCAACATTTTTCTTGTTCTTGTCGTCTTTATCATTTTTTTTCGAATTTTTATCCTGAATAAAAGTCTCTTGTATGTCTTTTTCTAATCGATCAAAATGGTTGTCGAAAATTTCTCTAAGTCTTAAAGAAAAAACAACAAAAAAAAAGATAAATAGAACGAAGGAAAAAAAAATTATGGATTTGTAGATTTACTTTTTATTTCTAGAATTAATATGATGTTCATTAGAATCGTTCATACTATTAAAAATAAAAATTTGATTGAAGAAAAAAAACAATCTGAAAATTGAAATTACTCGACATTCAATTTGGATATTTTATCTGTATTTGTTTTTTCAGTTTCTATGTTCGAACATTTCGTTTTGTGTTTTTCAATAGATAATTCTTCAGTTTCATATACAGTATTTTGATCTTTAACATCATTATCAATATTCTTCGTTAACAGTAACCAACGAGTAAAAAAATCAGCAGCACGACCACTACCCTATTTATTTCAATATATTAATCAGTAAGACACTAGATATTTAATTCTATTTTCTTACACTAATAATAACAACAGGAATATTGGATCTTAAATCATAATATATATTTTTTATTGCATCTTTGCCACCTTCAACCAGAACAGTAACCGCAGGTACTAGATATAAAAGACAAATCATCGATGATATATTTCGTATTTACTTTAGTGTATCATTTGTAGAAATCTTATCAAGCTTTTTTTTTAAATAGCGGGACCTTTCAAATTTCAATTGCGAGTAACCGATTACGCTGAAAACTAAACGGATAATAAAACATCTTCATTTCCTAGTAAAAAACTTATTACTATTCATATCAAAAATTTATTTTATATTTCTTGTTTAACTACATATATTATACTAGTATAAAATACGTATATAATGTGATAAATTCCAAATAAATAATAATTATTCTCCGATATTCATTGACCTTGAGCGAAACATTTTGTTACCTTTATTATTACACTCCGATATGTTTTTTTCTCCCATTATTCATTTCACGTCTTTCTGTTTTGTTTGTTTTCTTGCTATGTACTGTGTGATCATTTGCTGTTGTTTTTATTATTACTTTCTTCATTTTATTCTTCTTCTGTTCTTTGATTTGACTACCGTAATAGTTTACTATGAGCATTCATTGACTGGCATATTATGCTTTAATACACTATATCCTGTATTATGATGGAGTCTGACACACTCAAATTGATATATGCCAAATGCTAAAGCTTCTGATTAATATAAACTTTGTTTCTACTGATGTTGGTGCTGGACTTAAAGATACTCGGTTAAAAATTGAATGAGTTGAGAATGCAAACAACTAATAATCTAAGGTTTTGAGGAATCGAAAAAGAAGACATGGAAAGATTTTTTTCTCCGATAGTATGTAGAACAAAATCATTTTTAAACCAATGATTTCTGTAAAAAAAATGTGTGAAAATGGCCTATCATTCCGATGAAATTTTGATAACAAGTAAGAAAATTTGCTTAAAAGTCAAAAAATTCTATATTACCCGATCGAACAGATACACTATTTTCTTTTGCTCTACATTGGAATGTGAGAAAGTAATCATTCAAATTTGTTGTTGAACTATAGATCTCAATTTCTTCTATTCAAGAGACATGTCGAAATACAAACTTCATCGAAATGATAGACCATTTTTTTAATATTTTGCAGAAATCATTGATTTCAAAATGATTTTGTCCTATATACTATTGAAGAAAAAGAACGTTCCATGTCTTCTCTTTCGATTGCTGAAAACTCCGATGGTTAGCTACTTGTGTTCTCGACTTATTCAGTTTTCAATCGAGTACCTTTAAGTCCCGCATCGACATTAGTGGCACGTAGTCTGTAGTACTTTCAATGAAGAATTATTTAACTAAGTCAAATATAAAAAACTTTCACTTTTCAGTATCATTAAAAGTGTATAATAAACACACTTTGGAGAATTCCGAACTGCTTTGACAGTTGATTTTTCTGGTAGTCAACTCGTTTACTTGTTGCTGAAAGACCCTTTAGGGCGAAGATACATCATAGACTTTAACTTCTACTACTGTGAAAAGGAGGAATCAGAAAATTACGACTGAAATATACACTCACTATTGGTCTTTCGAAAAATATACAGAATGTTTCCAATGTCATAGTCATCATTTTAATTGTTTATAATTTGATTATGGATTAAATTTAATCAAATAAATTTTTATCTCAAAGAGGAAACCTATAAGTTATTATTCTTAGAGACAAAATTTATAAATACGTTTTGAAGATTGTTATTTTGGGTTGTAATATAAAAATTTTAACACTATTTCAATGTCATAAAAACAATATCCAACATTTTGCTTATTTTTTCTATATTTACTTCAATTTCGTATCATCATTATGGACTTTAAATCATTGACACGTCTCTGTATTACTTGTTTCGTGTTTGTTCGATAACTTATCAATGGATCGATATACTGATACATTATACACAAGCGGTTTATTACTGACACAGCGAACACTTTGATAATCAATAATATGAAGATACCAGGTCATTGTGTGATCTTAACTAGGCTACATTCTTTTCATAAGAACATATAAAAGTGCATGCTTATAAATCAATAGTAACACAAGCTATTAGTTTAAGGGTACCTTCACCTCCGTCCTTCCGGTGTTTCTGGAGAACAGTTCATCAGAAAATTTTGAAATTATCAGGGCTGAAAAATTTAAAACAGCACAGCAAAACTTGTGCTAGACTTAAAGTTCTCGAAGGCTATTTTCTATGAGAGAATGAGCTCACAATTGATTAAAAAAACCTCTTTCACTCCCACTTCTCCAAGGCAATGCTTCCGATTCAGTTGAACATTTTCTTGACGACTACTAGACACTAGTAGGGTTGAGTATGATTTTTTGTTTCCTTATATTGTTCTTCGTTTCAATAAAAAAGAGTCTAAATACCGAACGCATTCTAGAAAACGCTTGCTTTTTTCTTTGTTAATTGGACAAATTTTGTGAAAGCTGCTAGAAATCATCAAAGCTATAGTTTTTGAAATAAAAAAAATATTCATACTAAATATTGACTAGTATATCTGAAAAAACTTTCAGTATGACTTCTCTTACCAGGTCAGAGAAACGGAAGTGAAACAGCACTTTTTTTAATAGAAAATTTGATGTTGAAAAAAATACAAATCGAAATTAAATTTCAATTTTCTCTCGAATACTCATCTTTGTTTTCTTTGTATTTTAATGCTTAATAGGTATTCGATCACCGCACATTTAGTGACCTAGTTTTCTACGTTCAGCGAGTACTTTTCTATGCACACAAGGTTCATGCAACCAGACACATGAACGATATATATACGTCTTGTTCACTATACTCTCTTTTATTACAAATGAAATTGTGAACGAAAGAATTGAAAACTGAGAATAAACCATTTCTGAAAATACTAACTCCTCAATTAACGATTAGGAATAGCTTTGAATATAAAGAAACAACGTATACTACTAGAAATAAGTCTGAAGTGGAAAATGTTTGATTTCGTCAAATTGGTCATATCACGAATAATCTCGATCAACTATCTCGAACTGAAGTCGAATGACGTTTTACTTTTCTTGATTTGCGACTCTTACATGATTAAACACTAAAAATGGGATAAATACAAATAGATTAGATGCAAAGACGAAATATTTTGAAAAGGAAAAGGAAAAGGTAGCAAATCAAGTGTTTATAGACGTCAGTCTCAAAAAATCATTATTTTTTTTCATAATTAGAACGCTGTCAAAAGAAATCGTTTTTTTGCAGATTGGTAGCAAACACTTCAAGATATATAGATCAATTGAAAAACAAAAAATCGAAAAAACTTTCTTTTTGACGTTCAGAAAGAAGGTGGTAGGGAGTGTCCTTAAAGTTCATAGTAATGATATAAATTAAAGTAAAAATTGAAAAAAATAAAACCTTACATATTGTTTTATGACATGGAAAAAGTGTCAATTTCCTTTTTGTTATTAAAATTCAGAAACAATAATATTCAAAGCGTATTTACAAACTTATTCTTCAAGCATGAAAATTTATAAGTTTCCTTTTTCAAATAAAAAGCTATTTGATAAAACTTGATTAATAATAGAATTATAGCCATTTATAATGTGATCATCACCTTTAGAGAAATCTTCTATGTAAAACTTCATAAAAAAAATATACATACCGAAAAGATCATGTTCACTATTTATTCTTGCCATATGAGTAATTAGACGTGTTCGATAGTCTTCTGTTTCATACTTACGAATAGTACCATCGTCTAACATAAGATAATGACTATGATGCATTTCAAGATCCCATTCACCAGAACGGCGTGTTTTTAATCTATTCTTGTTAGTACCATCCAATCCATTAGTAGTTATCTATACAATTAATCTTGACTATATTATTTAATATTTTTTTTTTGTTTTTAAATAGAACCTGTTCTGTTTCTTCATCCATTGGACGTGTTATTTTTTCTACATCTCTTATACAACCCCATTTACAAATACCGATAGCAGTAATGGAATTTTCTGTGAATTTTGATAATTTAAATTGATGAAGCGCTCGTCCAACCAGTCGAACAATACCAGTATCATATCCACTTGTAAATAACCATGCACCTGAAAAAAGAAAAATAATAATCATGTGTCATAATGAAAGAAATTATTTCATTACATACCTGATTTTTGAATTAGATCAAAAAGACCATTTATAAAAATAATTTCAAGTTGATCACTTGTTTTAAAATATTTAGCACCACCGAGAACTGATATAATAAATAAAGGTTCTGGAAGTTTCCAAGCATCAAGAAAAATGTGTTTAACTTTTTCTTCAGGTGTATCCATAGCTAATCGAACAAACTAAATCAATAAAAATTTTAAAGAAACTAACAGAAAATTAATAAATATCTTTAATATACCCATGCACCAGTTTGAAGTTGACCATGTTCAGCATTAATTTCTTCTCGAGTATTTAATTTCATACTCCAGCGTATATTTTCTATTACTTTTTCACCTGGATGTTTGTCTTGTGGTCGTTTACATTCACAAGTCTCTTCATATTGATCATTACTAAAACAAAACGGATATATTATTGAATTATTCATTAAAATATATACTCGGCTCGTCGTGAAGAAGTATATAAATGACATGTTCGAGAACGAATATTCAATTGATCAATCATATCATCTGGAGAATGTGCTCGTCTAGACTAAAATAAATAAATAAATTTATTTTTAAAGTTTTATTAAATCATAATTCATTTATACTTGACGATATACAGATGAGCGAGAACTGCTCATTATTTATAACAAAAAAGAAAAATATTGAATGATTTCTTGTTTGATAAAGTTAAAATACAATCTTTTGCGAGTTACCGCTTCACTTTGTTTAAACTTCTTTCTCTGAAATTTATTTGCAAGAGACATTGTACACAATCACGGTTACCAAGCAGATAAGAGAAAAGAAAAATTAATGTCGCCGAAAGAGAAAAAGAACTTTTTATTTATTTGTTCCATTCTCGACATGAGTAAATTGCCTACGAAGAAGAAAAACGGATTACTTTACTCAACTAAAAACAATAACAAAAGAAACTTTGTATTAAGCTTATGTGAAATTACCTCCTTTGTATCACTTGTCAAATTGATAGTTTATCTCAATTAAAAAGTTGATAATGAGTAAGAAAGAATCCAAAGAGCAAACACGGTATAAGTTGTTTCTATTATTAACGTATTGATCGCAAAATTTTTTTTGTCCTTATAGCGCATTTTATGAAAAAGCAGACGAAATTGTAAGATGTTAACAATAATTTTTATTGATAATTATTTTCCATTTAAACATAGAAAGACAAAGAACTATGGAAAAATTTTAATATTGATTTTCGTCTTGAAGCTGCAGAATTTCCAGATAATAAAATTTATGCAACTATCAACATCAAACCTGAATCGGCTCGGCGACTCATTGCAAAATTTTCTGTAAATATTTTGTATATTCAAAAAAGAAACCATAATGAATAAGATCATGAACAATATATAATTAATATGCTTATTTTCTTTGATAATAGTTAATTGTTAATGATTGTCATCGAGGTGAGTTTGATGGTTCTTATCAGTGCATATCAGCAGCAGGTTTCGATGTAATGAAACAAGAGAACTATGTAAATGTCAAAATTGAAGCAAAACCTGTCAATAACAATTGGAAAACAATCAAAAAAGAATCTGAATCTTGTGTATGTCTTATTTAATTTAAACATTGAATGTGATATATTTATTTATTTATTTTTAGTCTTTTTTCTTTACTGGTCAAATTGTGACTTTAAGTCCAACTATTCATTTCGACTACATTGAAGAACATTCAACATTTAATATGACGATTAAATGGTATCATATTGGTGATCGTTATGCTCAAAAATATGTTGTCTGTTTAGACGAAAAAGAAGTTCATTATGTAATTTTCTTTGCTAAATTTATTTGTATTCTATAGTGTAGTGCAAAAACAACTTTTCTCGATTTGTTTCAGTCAAAAGAAAGATCAATAGATATTTAAATCGGCAATAGTGGCGGAGTTTAGTGTTATTTGTTTTTCCATTCATAAGTGATGGTACCGTTGAAAGTTCAAGAAGATTTCTTTAAAAAATTCCCGTTAAATGAGCTTTTCAGAGGAAAAAGAAAAACAACACTAGAGAACAAATTGATAAAAAAACTAAACGAAAAACAACATTGTTGCCAAATGATCTTAGAGATTGCGAATTTTTAAATTATACCACGTATTTTTTTTTTTACTCTCACAGTCGTGGCTCAGTCTAACTAGTCCATATTTACCAATTTCAATATTACTGAATAAATTCATAACTGAAAACAAGTATGTTTTTTTTATAATTTATGTGTTCATTATCAAATCGATTTGTCATTATCTCAGTTGATAATTAGCTTAGGATGTAAATGTAGGTCTACTAGTTTTCTCCATATGTAATTGTACCCACCCACATCCTTGATCAGGCAACAGACTTAATCGATTTGGTAATGAACAAATGAATTGTTTTAAGATGTTATGTGTAAAGCTGATCATATTTGATTCGGGCGAGTTGTCAGTTATGAATTCATTGCACGAAAATGAAAAAATAGTGTTCGATCAATCAACTTACACTCGTAGCCGAAAGACTTTCGGACTTCCTATTCTTGCTTCATTCTATTAGATTTGAGAGAAAATATGCATATCAGACATTAGCTGCTGATGACATCATAATTTGCATAGTGTAACATAGCTTACAATTAAAATAAAATTATAATTAGAAGTACAGATGATTAAAGATAAAAATAAATAGATATTATATAAACATGTTTTTATTTACCTGATAGGCCGAAAGTTTTTTGACAAAATATTTGATTAGTTTTCCAGTATTTAATATGCATAGAATAAGAATGAGCAGTAGTGTGCTAGAATTAGGTTTTTCTTGCTCTTTCAGAATATATTCTCAAAATTTTTCTGTAATTTTTTACTTTTAAGCTATAAGTAAGTCTTGATAGAACTCGAAAAAATTCTCTGGAGACACAAAAATCTTCTTCTTCTGAAGCCAAGTCTGCTTTGTGTAGAAATCAAATAAGTTCTGTTAATACATAGTACTTGAGGATGACCTCCACTTTATAAAATGATGCAAGAATGGATAGTTTCAGTTAATCCGTTAAAAAAAATTTATTCAAATATAGTGCTTTGTAGGAAATCATTCTCTATATCTTTCAATATATTTGATAAAATTTTGTGTCATGTCTAGAACAAATTCCCTTTGAGGTTTTTTCTTCCAAACAATATTTTTCTGAGTCTTTTCAAGATTCATTTATAGCTTTATAGTCAAAAGTCATAGAAAAAATCCTATGCATATATTCTCAACGAGCACAACATTCTGATTCGAATACAACATTTCACACTCTTTTCCTATACATTTAAATACGCAATAAATAGCAAAATATTTTGTCTAGAAGCTTTCGACCTACTCGTTATATGAAAATAAAACGAAAAATAAACTTGTCAACACCAATATTTCATACCGTTTTGATTCTCATATCCATAGTAAATGAGTTGGAGGAAACAATATTTCTGCAGGACACTAATATTCTATTATATATCATATAGATAAAGCAATCATCAATAGATCAAGAAATGGAAGTTTGTATACATTCTTTTGAAGCTGGTAAAAATCATACCGTTCAAATTAAAGCAAAACTTAAGAGTAAGTTACTACGCAGTTTCTTTTATTATTATTACAGTGTCTTTTCACTTTTATTTCCAAAGATGGACAAGAAACGCATTCATCAGATCTTATTAATTTTACTGTACCTGATAAAAAAACTGATCAAGCAGATGATGAACTTATATATATAAGTAATGAACCAGTTCCATCACACTTACTAGGTTTGTCTTCATGCATTTATTTTTTTTTTTCATTAATTTCTAGCAATTCTATTTCTAGATTTCCTTGTGAAAGATGAAGATACAAAAAAAGATGTAGCGACACAAGAACTTGATAAATTTAGAGAGCGTGCATTAGAACTTCTTCGATTACTTGAAAAAGAAATAGAAGCAAGAAGCCAGACTAGAAAAATATAAACAACATCTTTTTTTTTTTTGTTTTTTTCCCATTATATAAAACTTCTCCTATAATAAAATATCATTTTTTACAAACATCATCATAATCTCTTCAAAAGAAACAACGTACTCAATAACATTAAAAAAATATATCCATGAAAAACTTCAAGTTGAAAACTAAACGAACTATATATATATTTTATCAAATAAAGGATAAACTGATCATTTATCTGTGCTAAATAGGAAGTTTTTCAATCATAAAAATTCTTACTATCACTAGAGTAAGTAGAAGTAACAGTAAGTGTGAAGCTCTTAATCATTAATTGTTCCATCATACTCTTTTTCACTCGAACACCTTTTGCAAGCATCATATGAAGAAATATTCTGGAGTTTATTTTGTAAAAAACATATTCAAACAGTGTATTTGTTGAATTATCAGTTGTCTCTTACGTAAAAACAATGTTCGTTGTTTTCATTTTTTGACAAAAAGTGATAATGAATATACGTTGTCCGCTGTTGTTGAATATATCCTAAATATATAAAGATATCGTAATATCCAAACGCAGGGTAACGATCAGCTACAAATCACGATTTACAACAAAGTAGATATCTAACTGAATATCCGTATATGGGTATCCAATTGAATAGCCATCTTGTTATACAATATTCACTCAAAATCCTTAATTTAGCAGTATATGGGTACCATGAATTCATTAAGTGAATATCCTAATAGCTATGTTCTGAATCTGGATAGCCAAGTTATACATATTATGACACTTCTAAACAACTCTGATAAATATATTAAAAACCTCGTGCTATTGAATTAATAAGTTTTATTAAACATAATATTTTAAATTTATAATATGGTAATAGGTAGCTAGTGTGAGTGTTTTATCTTTTTTCATCAGCAAAAGAAGATAGGTAAAACGAAATCTGCTATTAAATAGCCCATGACAAGTTAGTGAAAGTTCATAAGTAGTCAATTGAGATCCTATTTTAATCACTTTGATTAATTTTTAGCTGTAAAAAACGTTAACATCATTAGTTGACATCTCTGTATGTTTATTCCAAAAGTCATCTCTTTTTTTCGACGACAATAAATGTCTTAGAGTCGGTTTGATTCGTAAAACTGAATNTCATAAAGTACAAGTATCTTAGCCGAAATAAATGAGTATGTGTATAAATATAGTAAAGGTTTTCGTAAACATTCTAGAGCTATAGGGAATGTTTGGAAAATTTTGCAGAAACACCATCTGCTCTTTCAGTTGTTTCCTTAAAAGTCTGATTATGTATCTCGAGTATAGTCGGAAATCCTATAAAATTCTAGAATGTTTACGAAAACCTTTACTATATTTATACACATACTCATTTATTTCGGCTAAGATACTTGTACTTTATGACGACTTGAAATGAATTGAACTTTTGTCTACTTGATGTATTATTTTCTCTTTTTTCGATTGATACTTTGATAAACAATTTATTTCCTGTGTTTGTTAAACAAAATCAAGACAAGACAATTATAATATGAAGAGAGAAAAACAGAAATAAAACAAGAAAATAAAGATAAGGCAAATATAGAAGATGGGAAATGCAGCACAATAGTAAAACAATCATCAACATTACAAGAAGGATTCAATTAGTTTCATCTTCAATGTTGTCAACATTTATCATATGAAAATTTTCTGGAACAGAACATTATCTTCATAGTATTACTATTATTAACTAATTTTCATCATCAAGTCTTCAAAGAAAACCAACATTTTCACACTAATACTCGACATAAATAACATCAATGAGCAACAAGAATGATTAAAAAAAAACAATCCTTTGCTAAGGACCAGCAGTGTGTAAATTTCCATAAAAATATATAAATGATGAACTTGACAAAAAACACTAAAAAAAACTAAAGTTATGATGACGATAATGATGTTGTTACAGCTAATACTAATATGAATGTATACAAATAATTTGTTTTTGGATTGTACTCAGAGAAAAATAGATATAGATGTTCTTATGAGTGAAGGACTTAGACAGATTTCAAGCTTTTGACTTGATTTTTTGGTTATAAATCGATAGCGGTAAGACTAAGAATAATTTACAAGGGATCATGCTTATCACTCTTCGTTTCCGAGATATGATTAACATTACAAGGAATAAGAGATGTTTTTCTTTAGTTTTTTGTCAAATTATCATTCATATATTATCTTAATAATATTAGTTTATTCTGAAGTAAAATATGAGATCAAAATATTATTATTTAATATGCATCACTCGTTTATTTCTAAATGGCTGCACTTATTGTGGACAAACTTGGTCAATATAGATTGTATACAAATGAATACTGGAAGATTCATCTTGAAAAGTTTTGATGTTATCAAACCTTGTTTGTCTTTCGCGTTATTTCTATATTTTGCAGTGTAATGTTGAGCTTCTCGAACGATTTGCTATTCATGGTGTCGGAAGGTATTCCTGTTTCGTCACTTCGCCGTGAGCTACTAATAATATACAGCTACTTTTCCTTGATGTCTGACTTAACAGTATATAATCTTGTTTTCTTGTAAATGAATTAAAAACACTGCTAGGGATTAGGATATTCATTATCTCAGGATTGAAATTTCATTATCCAGTGTACTTAAAGATTTACAAGCTGGATAGTTCAAAGACGCTGATAGAATTATTTGTTAGACATCTTTTTTAGTCTCAAGTTATTACGATAATACATAAGCAACAATTTTAGAAAATGAAAAAAAAAAATTTTATTATCCTAAGATTAATGACAGTTTGATAATAAATATTCATAAGTATAAACACTTGTAAAGTTTTTCTTAGTCTCATTCTATCGTTGAACTGAAGTTTCACACAAAAAATTGTATAAAAAGAGATCATACACTCAAAGCAATGATTATGTACACAACTTATTACTATTTTTATAGGAAAGTTTTATTTTTGTTTTTTTTATTCGACCTTGAAATGATGGTCGGTTGGCTTCGATATAAGGGATTAAATAGAAACGAGAAAAAAAAACATTTTATTAATTTTATGGCTTAACAAAGTTACCATATAGAATCGTTTTTTTTTAAATACCCTATATCAATGTTTAACTGATAAAGAAAATCGTTCTTGTCATCTGCAATTAGAAAGAAACTCGTATCTTATATTAACAATTATAATTGATTTCATACTAAAGTTCTAATATATTTTTATCGAAAACAATCAGTTTGCAAAAAGACAAACAATGATTCATTTATTATTAATCTTGTATAAGGTCGAGATTAACGTCTGATTTATTGTTGTGTTGTCGTTATAACATTTCATAGAACACATACGAAATTGACAACAACACAAAAAAATAAAAAATAATGTATTTAGAACAACCTTATGGTGTTCCACAACAACCACCACCGTTGAAAGTAGTTCGTCGGATGAACATACGACAAAATATTTCATTTCGTTATTGTCTATTTTGTATCTGTGGTCTATGTGGTTTACTTATTACTGGTACTTTGATTGCATTATTTGTCTATTTTATTATTCGTCATCGAAATACTATTTCATCTATTTTATCCTATCCAAATTTTGTTTGTAGTCAACATCTATGTGGTTGTCCAAATTATAATTATGAAAAATCTTTTATTTCAAGAATTGTTGGTGGTAAAGATGCAGTACCATTTACTTATCCATGGCTTGTTACATTAACAGATCGATATACAATAGATCCTTTTTGTGCAGGATTTATTATTTCTTCTAATGCAATTCTTACTGCTGCTCATTGCTTAAGTGGTCGAAATCCTAATCAAATACAAATACTTGCAAGAGTTCATGATCTTCGTCAATTCAATGGTGATCGATATGATATTGATAAATGGTTCATTTATCCTGAATATCAATATAATGATAGTATGCATATCAATGATATAGCTCTTATTAAAATAAAACAAATTTTTGCATCTGATCTTCGACCTTGTTGTCTTCCAACAATACAATCATCTATTTATCCTAGAGCAAAAACAGCAGCTGTTGCTAGTGGTTGGGGTAAATTAGTAGCAAAACCAAATAATCGAAATTCTCCCATTCTTCAACAAGTTGTTATGCCTATTGTTGATGAAAAAAATATCAAATGTCGTCAATCAATTGTTGATATCAATCGACAATTATGTGCAGGTTATAATAGTCTTTCGATTGATACATGTTCAGGTGATAGTGGTAGTCCATTACTTATTGTTGAATATAATGATAAAAAACAAGGACATTTTGTAGCAACTGGTATTGTTAGTTATGGAAATAGACAATGTGATGCCTCAGTTTCTTCTGGTATTTATACACGTGTAGGTTTTTATCTTTCATGGATTCATAATACCTTATCTAATTTGTAATGAAAATATTGATTAAAAATTGACTTTTAAAGGAAATAGTTTTTCTTTTTGACATTGTTTGATTGTATTAAAGAAAAGAAAAAAGTATGATGTCGTACGACTATACATGAACTGATTATTCCATTTTCTTCTTCATTGTTCTTCCGTTGTTAAAAGAAAAAAAGAGCAACATCACCCATAGATGTGACGCCTGGCGACGACTAAACACAAACTAACTATGGATAAAAATAGAAATTGCTATGATACTCTTGATTGATAAATAAACAAAAAGAAATTGAATTTCTATTGTTCCTGACAAACATATTTGAAAAATTCAAAATTCTATAAATAATATTATTTATTGATTTTGTAGTAATTATTACATAGGAGATAAGAAATCATATTTTTATTCTCTAAAATATTAAAAAGTAAATTTCAGACATAATTCTTGTTTACAATTAAACTAATAATTATTTCAAAACGATAATCATGTTAATCCATTTATAACATAATTTAAATTGACATACGTCTTCTATATAAAAAAAGAACTTCTGAGACATGCTATTGTTTCATAATACATCAAACCAGTCAACGATGAATTAATCTTAATTGACCCATACAGACAGTAAAAACAAACAAAAAATGAAAGTGATGATAAAACATCGGCGTCCTAGAAAGTTTCATGTCTTATTGAATAGAGAATAATTTAAATAGAAATAATTTCCCAGATCAACGAATACGATTCATTTATAAAAAAAAAAGGAAACATGATTATTGAAATAACATTACGAATTATTGTTCGTTGAACTTTTCAAAATTCTATTTTTCCAAGAACTTTCGAGATGAAAGATTTGCTTATTGCACTTTATAAAACTGTTTTCGGCTTTACTTAAATAATTACTGATGATTCTATAATACTACTTGTTTTTCAAGTAGATTGTGTATTTTTTAATATAATTTCTTAGATTTTTTTTCTAACTGATATTTTAATTATATGTTATATGCATGTCACTATATAACAATTAAATTCTCATCTTTACATTCTCGAATATAGTCTAATAAGAAAATTTATTTCGTGTTATTTATTTCATTAAAAAAAGAAGAAAAAAAAGAACTTCGAATGACCTAAAAGATTATAATGTCATGCGGAAGAAAAATATTAAATTAACTAAGTATCTTATCCATCTGTCCTTAAAATGACAATATGATAATATTATTTTCTTTTAAAATCTTCTCATAAAATATACTTTTTGTGCGTGTTTTTTTTTTTTCTTGCAAATAAACGAGTCAGTCTTTTCCGATGACGTACATTCTTTTCATAAAGTTAATTGAATTTACTTTTCTTTTTCCGTTCATTTTTCTATGAACTGAAACATAGACTATATCACAATAAGAAAAAAGAAAATTATTCTTTAATTTTTACTAATAACCTAAATTAAATACTTGAATATATAAAAAATAAATTATCAAAATACATCTTTTTTTCAATTTATCTTTCATTTTTATTCAATTATTTTACATATTATTATTATCTTCCGACTGTGTTTTTTTTAATAATAGTGTGTCATATGAAGATTTAATAATAGTTTAAAATAAAAACTTTCAATCTTAAATTCTTTTTAATTAGAAAAAATAAATAGGTACGTTTTTTTTATCTAACAAATATAAAAATCATTCGGATTAAGTGCACATTCAACAATAGACAATAAAAAAAAAGAGAGAATATAAAAATTTTCAAAGACTCGAATAAAGTAAACGGAAGAAAACAAAAATCTGACATTTTATGTCATTTTTCAGATTGTTCAACTTGTTTGAATTAAGGTCCATTATTTTCAGCAGCATATTCCTTGACTTTAGTGTCATACTTTAAACGTAACGCAGCTTTTATTTCTTCCGTACTACGCATCGATTTTGATTGACCAATACTTAATATCCATGGATGAAGGAGAATTTCATCAGCACGCATTCGTTTATGTCGATCAACAACTAATAAATGATCGATTAAATTTTTTGCATCTATGAAATAAATATAATATGAATTAATTTAAATATTTATTCTATGAAAAATCTTACTAGCTGATATGGAACTCCAATATTCAGGATCGTAAATGAATTTTCCACGTTGAATTAATTGAAATAATGCTTCTTGATTACGATCTGCTGTTTTAAATGGCGGATAACCACAAAGAAGAATATATAAAATAATTCCTGTCGCCCAACAGTCTACCTCGAAACTATAACCTAATTTAAACAAAAGAATATTAAATTATCGATTCATTTTTTTTAATATTAATTTAATATTTTACCAGTTTCAGCAAGAATTTCCGGCGCAACATAGCTACAAAAGTTCACTTGGATTATTATTTCTTTTTTTTTTTTTCTAAATAGATAAAAACTTACGTAGGTGTTCCACAGACTGTTTTTATTGGTCCAGATACTTGCATTGCTAAACCAAAATCTGTTAATTTTATTGTAATACGTCCATCTTTTCTTTGCATAACTAATAAATTTTCTGGTTTTAAATCTCTATGAACAATTTTTTTTGCATGTAAATATAAGAGTGCTTCAGCAACATCTTTAACCATCAATGAAGATGTTGGTTCATCAAAGCGACGATGTTTTGTTATATAATCAAATAAATCTCCACCTTTAATTAATTCCATTACAAGATAAATTTCATCAGGAGTTTCATAATCTTCAAATAAACGTATTAGATTTGGATGATTACACATATACATTATATTTATCTCATGATCAAGCATATATTCTTTTCCCTATTTTGAAAGAAAAGAAACAACAAACATCTATTTTCCTTTTAAATATATCTTCTTTGTTTTACTTTCATCTTTGATTTATCAATTATTTTAATTGCATATTCACGATCAGTACCACGCAATTTTGAACGATGTACAACCGCAAAATTTCCATCACCCATTTTTTTACCAAGTTCATACTTATCAGTAATAACAGACGAAGAATTATGCTGAAAAACAAAAAATATTCGAATATATCCCGAAAGAAAACAAAACAAAAATTATATTAATGATTAATCTTACTAGAATTGTTGCACGTTTTTTAATAATAAATTTTTTCACTACTGGTGCTGGTAATGATGTTGAAGCTGCTGCAATTGCTGTTGTTGGATCATTATTAGTTGTTGGATCATTTTCATCATGATTATTTGCCATATTTGTACGAGGTAATGGTGTTATGGATAATGGTTTATTTAATACTTTTGTTATTGTACCAGCAGTTAAAGGAAAATTTGGAGAAAATGTACCAGTACCTGTTGTTGGAGTTTTTGATTTATTCGTACGAGTTTCATCATTATTAATATCAACTGCTAATGGTTCAAATTTAGGTACTGGTTGAATTGTTGCTGTTTGTTGATAATCTTTTCGAATTAGAATTTTTTTTCGACGTTCATCTTCTTCTCGTAAACGTTGTCGTTCACGTTCTCGTTGTTGTTCAACAGTGAGTGTGGTTGTTGGTTTTAGTGTTGGTTCTTTAGAATAAAGAAGAAGAAGAATCCATTTGAAATTCTGATTTAATATTTATAAATAAATGAAATAATGAAGTATCATAGAATAAATGATTTATTAAAATTTTTGAAAAAAAAAAAGAATTTTTATGTTTTTCAAAGAAAGAAAATCGATTGTTGTCAACTAAAATTTTTAAAAACAAGTTTTCACTTACTTTTCAATCTTCGTGCAATGAGATCATTAGGTGTTGGTGCATCTTCAGAAGCCACTTCATATTGTTTATTATTATTATTATTATTTGTAGGTCGAGATGGTGTTTTACGTGATGTTGTTAATACACTATCTCGACCAGAAAAACCATCTTCATCATCTAAAAAGCCACTATCGCGTACATTAAGCATTTTTTTAAAATCAACAGTAATAGATCCTGTTTGTGTATTTGATGTATCACTATCAAATGGTATTTGTAAATTTTGTTTTAATTGATTTCGACCAACAACTGTATTACGTGATGTTGAATGTTGTGTATCATTAAGCATTTCAATATTTATTTCTTGTAAATCAGTTGGAGACAAATCTGTTATATTTGCTGATGCAACAAATATATCATCTATATATAGAAATAATAATAATAATAATCAAAACAAATGAACTATAAATAATAAATAAAAAATTTTCTATTTACCATCACGAAAAAAATCATTGATACCATTCACTTGTTTTCCTTTGAGATTAAATAAACGTTTGATCTATAGAGTGAGAAGATATATTAATATAAAAAAAATACAGTCAAAGAAGAAAGTCTGTCGTCAGAGAATTAACTATGCATGAGAAGATTGAGACAGGAAACTTCTCATCCTGTTTGTCATACTTCATATCTCACTTTCTAATAACATGCTTTTGACGTAAAAGGAAAAAGAAGACGAGTAGAAGATTTTTTTATAGAAAAAAAAAAAGAAACGAGATTTTCCCTATGTCTAAGCTGCTATAAAAATGAGATAAATTTTATACTTTTTTTTTTCTCTTCATTCTTCGTCTACCCTTTACTTACTTTATCTGTTCGATTTTTTTGATAACCAAATGATTCTGAAATATCAGATAAAAGTTGATCATATGTTTGAACTGTTCGTCGATTAAGTAATATTGTTATTGTTTTATGTGGTTTTTCATTTCCTTGTTTAACAATTGTTATTTGACGTGGCTTATTATTTATAGAATCAAAACCATATTTATTTTGTTTAGGAATTAATTTTTTTTGTTGTTGATTTGTATTATTCGTTGTTGCAGCAAGTGATTGTAAGAAAAGAGTATTTGTTTGATAACGATTTGTTGTTGTTGTTATATTTGAATTTACAGTTGAACCATTAACAGCACCAATTTTTGATATAGGTATAGTTGGTAAATGACGTACATGAAGACGCTGAGGAGGATGAAAGTCATGTAATGGTTGGCGAACTAGATAAATCATGAAATTAAGAAAAATACAAGACTTCAAAATCAGTCGTTCAATTTAATATTAAATTTATTTGACAGGTACTTGACATCTAAGTTTATGAATGTTTTCTTTTTCTATTATCTGACAGTTTATTTTTTTCTATGTTTAATTAGGACTTTTTTTTTTCTCTATTACTTTATAAACTGAAATTTAATCGAAAAATGAAAAGAGAAATGAAATTGTCATGTTTAAGTTTTTCAAATGATTATTTAGAACGTATATTTTTATTAAATTAACTTACCAGACCATGCAAATGATTGATATATGTTGAAATTAAATACTTTAGGTGTCAAAAACATAGTGATAGTAGGACTGTTTAAAATGATGGTGATAATCAGATTCAAAATTAATACTTTATGTTTTTTTTTTGACTTTAACTTCTGCTAAAAATATTCTCTTCTCTTTATTTGATTTAGTCGAAACTTTTTTTCGCACTCTCACACTTTTCTTCTTCAGTTGTTTTTCATTATAATTTCGATTGTCGCAAGAAAAAGAATATTGACTCGTATGGTATCGTTGGCATTTATTAGTAATAACAATTTTCAAACCAAGTACTTGTTTCTATTCTCTACATTGATTGGCTTGTCGTTCAAGAATAATTCATCAGACAGATGAGTATTTTTTCTTTTTTTTGTGTACTTATTCTTCTTCGTATAGATAAATATAAATAAAATATTTAACAAAAACACGTGAAAACGAGAGGAAATAAAACTGATTTGCATGATCATTGGACCTGCTATTGATAAATTTCTAATGCCAATTCTCGTCTTTTTCTGTTTCTTTCTGTTTCTTTTTTTTTTTTTAATATTCATGCTGATTTTGTAATGCATCATCATAATAGTAATTAAAAATGTCATAAGATGAAGAAAAAAAAAATAAGAAGAGAACTTAGACATACATCAGTACGAAAAGAAATCCTTATGATATATGTCTCGAGAATATTTTAATAGGAATAATGATGATCTCAGGCGACAATGAAATCAACGAAGAGAAACACTTGTTTTAAAATAAGAATGCATAAATGAAAAGTAAATTTTATCCAAAGAAGTTTAAAAAGAAGAAATAGCATAATGTGTCCTTGAAAAAAAACACAAACATAATACTCGAACTCGTAGAAAATATGTATTTATAGCAATCACTTACGTTGTTCAATGTTGAATGTTACACGTGGTAGACCAATAGATGTATACTCTATTTTTTGAAATGGTTCAAATGAAGCACAAACATATGAAGCACCATCTTTAATAATATTAACATCTGTAATTTCTGAGCCTTTATTTGGTGTAAATAAACGTCTTACACCATAAGGTAAATCAATAGCAGTTGATAATTCTTGTAATAATTGTCCAATATTTGAATAATTTTGTGGTTTAATAGCATATTGTTTACCAGCAAAGTAACGATCACCATTACGAAATAAAGTTATTTTACGTGGTGTTGTTCGTGGTGAAATATCATTTTTAAATTTTGGTAATGTACGACGAGTATTCTTTTGATAATTTTGTTGTTGTTGTTGCGAGATTCCTGGCATAGTACTACGTGGCCATTGAGTTTGTGTTGAAAGAACATCCGTCATTTGCTAACAAAATGATCAAGAAATAAAAGAGAGAGTATGAAATCGAGAAGACTTAGGAATGAGCACCACCGGATTTGTTGATCAGTTTAAAAAAATATGAAATTTTTTGACATGCAAACACGCAAAAAAGATCATATTATCGAGAACAAAATCAACAAAAATAAAATTAGTCAATTTTTCATGTTGTTGTCATGACAATACCATCAAGTTTGGTTGAATATAGAAACTAATTGAAAAAAAACAGATTTCATGGTGATCTCTAACGACATCTTTGATTTTTATTTCTTACTAGAAAACTATTAAATGTATTCAGAAAATAAAATAAAATAAAATAACTATTCAATAATTCAAATATGTTCAAATTTGATTCGATGAATTTTCAATTTAATCAAAGATCCAAGGCTGATCTCAAGTAGTCAACATTGAGAAGGTGTCGACATTTTTTGGAAGAGTGTAAAGAGTTTTTTCTAAGAGAGTGCACGAAAAAAATTGTAGCTCCACTCGGAAAAAATAAAAGGTTTTCTTGATGAGTGGATGTCACACACTGAATTCTCTGATCGAGCCATCCCTAAAAGGATAGCTGTAAATTGCTATAAATTTGAGATGTTAAACTTAAATTTATAAAAAAAAAAAAAGCAAAACCTCCATTATTTCTGGTAGTTTTTATATTAACAAAAGAGTCTGTTTTTAAGTTCTAAATTCTATTACAATGAACATTCTTCTGACGAAATGAACTTTATTTTTGTTTGTAAATCTTTTAAAATCAAGACAATACTTTCAAAGAAAAATTAAATACAGTCTTTAAAAGATTGAAAAACTAAAAAAATGACGAAAAAGATAAGAATAAACAACTAATCTTATGTTAAGTTACATTTAACTTTAATTGAAATCTACTTTGATTTAGTAAACTTTGTATACTTTCGTCTCTCAGAATTTAATACTTCAAAAATTTATTCATTTGTTTATAAAAATACTTTCGAAAATCATGTTCTGGTGTCGATACAAAAGAATTCATTAGTACATACATTATAATATGAACAATTACAAAAAAAAATATTCTGTCTATATTAGGAAACAAAAGACAAATACGTGCTATGTTTGCTTAATGTAAACGAATATCAAAATTTATGTTGATATANTATGTTTAGTTGTTTACAGATATGCACTTCATACATAAGTCACCTCTTTCTAAAAATTTTTTCAACTATCATCAATGAAATTCAATGTTTTATCTAGCATGGGGTCTGAGAGTATGGCGCTCATCCGAAAATCCGATGGGCTTCTAGTGGAATACCTTCAAACAAGAAAGTTTAGATAAAACACTGGTGAAATTTCAGCTATAATGATATGTTTTAGTTCTTGTTATAACCCTCGATGTTTAAATAATAGACAGAAGTTGTATTTAAAATTTGAAGGATATATCAATACATTTGTTCACAATTTAGTTTTGTTTTCATCGCATTTTTCTTAGCTTATTTTATGTTATCTATGTATGGTGTATTGGTTGTTTTCTTCATTCTCACTATTGATTTTCTTCATGAAAAAAAAAAAAAAAAGAAAAGTTATGCAGAAAGGCCGATACTCCAAGAATAAATTGGAACTAATCACTAATTTTTCAGTAGCTTTAAGAATAGAAAAGTCTAATTCATCATGTTATTCCTCTTTTGTTACCATTGTACACAAGCAGAAAATCAACGTTGTGTCAGTTGAATTTGTCCATTATCAAACCAATCTTTTATTTTTTTCTCCTAATGCATATTCGTGTGATCAGTCATGAATTTTTCACGTTGACTAACGGCACAGAAAACTTTCAAACATTAATATGATCATTTTTGTCATTATCCTTTCAATTGTCCTCTACGAATATTTCTTGATTTACATTATATGCACTAGGTATCTTCCGATTACATCGAAGAGTATGGATGTAGGTACTGAATTTCTCTATTCTCATACATACACACTCCTCTTGAAAGGATGGTATCACCGACTTATTGCAAATACTGGCACTTTCAATCCAAGCTGATATGTAGTGATCGATGAATTCGAGAGAGATTTGTACGTTCAACATGGCTACGATAAAACAATTTGGACAGCTGCTACTATCTTATGAACTTATTGAATTATGTTCTCCTTTCCATTAATTTCTCTAATACAACGTTGTATTTATTATTTTTTATAAAATACTATTGAATAAAAAGTCTCGATAAAATGCATTCTTCTTTGTTATGTAGTTCAAAATCAACAAAGAAAAAAAAAAGATCAAACCTTTTGATTCATGTAATTGAAAGGTATGTTGTCTTTCATGGTTGACAGCCTTTACCTGACTAATTCTTTTTTCCCTCCTTTCTCGACACATGCGTATATTAACTAAAAGAACAAACAGTATACGATGGTACCGCATTTATAATTACACTTATTCGGATCAACGGCAAATGATTGACAGAACAAACACAGCATGAAAACTAAATCAATATATTCTTTATTTTCTATTTTATCATCAAAATGAATTAAACTCATTTTGATATGTGTAATGTGTATGCCCAATGGCAAATCAGTTATTCGAACGTCAAATTCAAGTAGTACTCTAAAAAAATGTGATCGACCTCCTGATGATTTTAACGACTAACAAAACAAAAAAATAAATTTTTTTTTCCTATTAACTATACACGTGTTCACTTTTAAATCACGATAGTGTTAAGAAAATGAAAAATAGATCAACTATTTAGATCATATTCTTATTATTTAAAACAATAAAATTGTTGATCACGCTTTTAACATATTTTGTGTTTTCTTTTTATTTCTATGCTTAATAAAATGAAAAAAGAACATTCCAGTGAACTATGGAAAATAAAAACAAAAGAAAACGAGTAAAATTACTAGTTTCTTTGAACATATACACATGTTAATGTCTATTATACATCCAATTTTATTTGACAACTTTATTTCTCCGCCTTTATTTTAGCAATTGTTGTTTGGGGAAAAAAAAAGGTGAGCAAGTGCGACGCACATGAACAGCATCGTGCTGTGTGAATATAATTATATGCATGAATGATCTATCGATCGTAGAAACCCGCTGTGCAACAATTAAAAATAATATGATTGGATATATGTTTTCCTAAATAACCAATAAAGAATTTTTCCGAAAAGAAAAAAAAATGTTGTGACCTATGAGAAATTATTCATAGACAAACGAATTACAAGAATTCATATCATTTTTTTTTTCTTAAACAAATAGATTCTTAAAATGAATTCTTCAATCGATGATAAAATTATCTATCAAAATTCGAATGATAGTAATTCTTCAATATCTTCTAATATGATTCCACCAATTAAATCACGTCGTGGTCGTAAACGTATAACGGATCCTGTTTTAGCTACAGAATTAAAACATCATCGTCGTTCACGTGCTAATGATCGTGAACGTACACGAATGCGTTTACTCAATGAAGCACTTGAACATTTACGTACATTATTACCAATTGATACATCATCTTATTATACTGCAAATGATTCATCAAATCATGTTCCTATTGTAGAAGATAAATTAACAAAAATTGAAACACTTCGAACAGCTTCGGCATATATTCGTTTATTAACTGATTTACTTGAAGGTGATAGTAAAACTTCATCAACATCAAATTTATATTCATATAATATATCTAATCCACAAGAACAACAACAAGAACAACAACAACAAGTATATCAACATTCATCTTATTTTTCCTATACACCATCGTATTCATATTATCATCCTTATTGTTAAATATATTTATATAAAAATAATAAACTTCATTTTTCTTTTTGTCTTATTTTGAAATATCACAAATAAAATAATTTTTTTCTCCTAATACTCTTAAATAATCATTAAATGGTATTGAACATGATATTGTTCTTAAGCCTATATTAAAATTAATACAATCATTTCGATTTTGATCAATTGTTTCTGATAATGTTATATGTGATAAATCATTTGGCCATTCAGAATCATTTGTTGAAAAAAATTTTACTTGTGGATTAAATGTTAATGGTGGTGGATGTGATGTTGATTGTGACATTTTTTCATCGATTAATGTTTTGACATATTGAGAAAATAGAGAACCAAATGGTGGAACAGCACCTGGTATACAACCAGTTATTTTTCGTACTTCATCTTCATTAGCCATACGTAATTTTGATGATGGTATACCAAGAATAGAAGCTATTTTTTTATTATCACATGATAAATGAGCTGGAAGAACAATTAATGTAAATTGATCAGTATTTTTTTGACAAACAAGCATTGCTTTAGCTCCACTATGTAAAGGAACTTGTCGTTGATTTGAAGCTTCAATACTTGTACGTACAGGTGGATGACGAATAAGTAGAATAGAAATAGGATCATCTTTAAATGACATTATATGACGCATGATATTTTGAAATGTACTTGCATCTTCTTCTGCAGGTTCATTATCTGATGATGTGATAACAGAAGCCATCTCTGAAAAGAACACATTTTTCTGAATTTTTTTGTTTTCTTAGTTTTCAAACAAATCAAAGTTTAATGTTCACATCTTATTTCTCATCATAGATTTTTATTTTTTTGTTCTTATATATTATGAAAAAGAATTGTCACAATTCAACCGAAAACGAAGAAGAAAACGAACATAATAATTCATAGCAAAGAGAATAGAATGGAATACATAATGAAATAGAAAACAAAACAAAAAAACTGTAATAAGAGAACACGTGCATTTTATTAGATTTATCATGTGCAAAAACAAACACAAAGAAAAACAATATCAAAGATCCAAATGACTACTACTGTTTTTTTTTCGTCTTTCTCACAAAACACTTTTTTCTTTTTATTAAAAAATATCTGCCAAATATTCGGTGAGTATTATATAGATGGGTATATGTATATACAAATATATGAAAGTCTACATATTATAAGCAACAAATATAGGATCAAGTTGATCCGATACAAAACCATCACGTAAGTGCATACGTTGTTTTTCACCACGTGAATTGACCGGTACAACACCCGGATCAACAATGACAAGAACGCCAACAATCACATAATGTTCTTCAAGAATTGCACTTGTTATAAGTGGTACAAGATCAAGTGAATGTTGTTCAAGACCATCATATTCAACAACTACTACAAGTAAATTGGTCCAAGTAAAACAAGCACTAATTAAAAACAAAAACCAGAAACATGAATTTTTTTTTTGTAAAGAATTAAGAAATATACCATTCACAAATGCGTTTATGTGTACGCATAACTGTATTTTCAATATCAATTGGATGATAACGCATACCACGAATAAGAAGTGTTTCTTCGAGAGAACCGACCATATAGACAGCATCGTGATTTTCTAAAAAAAAGGAAACAAATTCATTTGATTTATGTCAATTCTAATTTAGTGGAACTCTTGTTGAAATAATGAATCGATTCCATTGTATATGTAATCATTCAAATTAATTTCAGATTAGATTTTAGCAAAATGGATTTAGTTTGCTCGAACTAATGAGTTATGAATAAAGTTCATGTTCTTAGCTTATTACTGCAAAAATCTTGCAATTTTCGAGTAGTTTCTAAGTACGACAGTTCAACTTAGAAATGTCAGAAGAAATTGATTTTCGAATTTTGTCCAGAAATAAGTACATAAATCTGCGGTATACATGAACGCCATAAAACACGCCCGATTTTAGGATATAAACAACGAAAAGATCTCAAACCTTCACGACATATTATTATTGTTAAGGCCTGCCACTGTAAAAGATTTCAAATAAAAAGTCAAGAATCAGTTTTTCATGATGTTCTTGAGGGCGATCACGTTATTGACTTAAAACTACAGCGCCTCAACAACAATAGGCTAAGAGTTGGAACTCTTTTCAAAGTATTCATAACTCATTACGAGTCTACCAGATGCACATAGTCCAAACTTAAAAGCAATTGATCGCTTTGAGAACTTCCCTAGTTAGATACGCTCATGCACTCTTCTGTTTCGTTCTTTGTCGGTTAGATGTTTTCAAAAAGAAAAAGCAAGCATAGTTTTTATCCTGTTTAAACTTGAGAAAACCATAAATACATGGCCAATCCTTTATACAGGACAAATCTATTTTCTGAAAAAAGAAATTCGATCATAACACAAAATGTCTTAATTGAATTAATTTGTATTCTAACTTATGATATAACTTACTTCCATCTGCAGCAATTGAATCTGTTCGACGAACAAAACCTAAATATCCTGTTCTAGCATATAATTGTCGTGTATCACCCGTCGCCAAATGTGAATAAAATTGATCTGAATTATGATTAGATCCATGATGTTGGTGATTGTCACCATAACTAATTATCTGACAACCAAGTGAATTATGACCACTTTGAACCCATAACTAAATAATTATTTTATTATTTACAAAAAAACAATAATATTCCAACAAAAAAAAACAAATAGAAATACTTACTTCACCTAAATGTGCATCTGCACATTGACCTTTACTTTCCGGATTAGCAATAACGACTTTAACACCCGGTAAAAGCTGTAGAAAAACAAAATTTTTTTTTTCTTTATTAACAAAATTTAATAAACTTACTTTTCCTGATTCTAATAAACATAAACTATGTGGACTACCTTTTTCGACTAGAGTTACACGATCATTTCTTAATGCTCGTTGATCAACATATACAGGAGCTGGATCAGGATCACTTGCTCCTCGTAAACAAATTGCAATATTGACTCGACAACCAAATGTTGTACTAACAGTTCGAGGATTAAGACCTAATGTTTGAAATAATTTAATAAATGAATTTAATAATTGTAAACGAGGTCGTTCTTCTGCTACAACTGCACATGTTCGAACACATGATAATGATAAACCACGATTCTATAAAAAGAATAAATATTGATAACAAAACAAAAAAATTAAAATTTAAGTTATTTTTAAACAAACTTTGAGATCAACAATTGATGTACTCAATCCTTTTGTACTAAGTTCCATCACCGAGTAGGAGCAAAAAGTATCACGAACTAGAAAAATAAATAATTAAAATGAAATAAGAAGAATTTTTTTTTTTTTTTTTTACTTTTATAATGACTAATTGTATTCATCCACACTGATGGATTCACTTCAAGTTCAGCTGGATCAATAAGAATTGAATGATGACCAGCATAGATACTAGAAAACAATAATAAACGAATTTATTTTCAAATCAACAAATATACTAGCATTTATTTATTTCTTCCTATATCGTGTTGTAAGTTTTTCGGAAACAAAAAACTTAACTCGTCTGAAGTTTTCATTATTGATGTAATGAGAAGTAAAAGCTTCTGTTCAAGCTGAACTCAAGTGTTTGCATGGAGCGAGAAGCTTAGTCTCCCCTCTGGCTACGTTACTAATTTTCATGTATAGTACTTATGTGAATGATACTCAATCTTCCTGTTAGAGTCATTCTTCCAAAGGGCTTACTATTTAGTTTCCGGAAGTATCAAATGATGTTCGGATAATGAATTACTTAAGTACATATTGTATAAATTGATTGAGAGCGTATAAAATATCCCATCTGACTAGAAAAGTTATTGTCCAAAGATAATGAATTCTTATTTTCTCAACTTGACAAAGGCACTAGTATTTTATACTACAATTTCAAGGAAAAAATTCTTCCTAAATTCTAGAAAACAGCGCTATTACGTCAATGTTTTTCATAACCATACAACACCAGATAACGAGTCACAGCAAATTATGATGAAACTTAGTTCAGTAATGCACCGTTTGTCACTTTCTTAAGCCCTTCAAAGCGGTATTTCCAATGATTATAATAATCATTCTGAATTTGAAATCCTTAATGCAAAATATAAAATATCTTTTCAATTTATAACCTGCATTCTTAACTGTTAGTAAAATGTAATAAACAAGAAAAAACTACAACATATATTTAAACTAACCTGATTACACACCAAAGTACTAAGCCAAGTCCATTATATGGATCCAAGCAAAGAACAATTTCTCTACTTGGATACAATTCACAAGCTAATTTAATTGAACGACATAAATTAGCTACAGCACCATACGACAACTAATAAAATTTTATTTTTTAGAAAGAAATCTATATGACAAAAAAAAAAAAGAAAACCTTCGACATACTTTAACAGCAGTTAATGAACCAGTTGTGGAAATACTAAAATCCAAATAACAAAGTGATTGAGCTTGTGTTGGTATTGATTTTTTTGGGAGTACTTGATTTTTCTTTTGTTTAGGTAAATCATCTGTATCAATTATCAATGGCCATAATTTTGGATCGAGTAATGATGCAGCTTCCTAGACAAAAAAAGAAATTTCCAATTTCTAATAGAAAAAAACAACAACAATATCATTAATGATCTACATACTTTACATCGAAGTAATTTTGCAATCGAACTATTTGTTACAATAACTTTTGCTTTACTTAATTCAACCATCATTTTAACAGTTGATAATGTATTAAGAAGATTTTGTGCATGTGGTGGTCGAATAGCTACTGGTACAACATCTAATAATAAAAATTAAATTATTTTTTTTTTATTTCAAAATTTTTATTTTTTATTTTTACCAATATATAAACAAGCATAAAATGCTGACACAAGATCTACACATGGTGGATATAATAAAGCAATATGATCAGATGATTTTATTTCAATACGTTCAAGAATTGTTAATGCAATACGTTCACTACGTTTATGCAATGCTAAACATGTTACACTTGTTGATTCTTGTCCCTAAATATTCAATAAAGAAAAAATAACTTTCATGTATATATATATATGAAAGTTCTATACAAACTTTTGCATTAATAACTGAATAGAGTACATGATCTGACATTGTTATTGAACGCCATCGAAGAATATCATCAATATATTGCAGCTAGAAAAAAAAGTAAAATTTATAACATAATTAAAATTAATATTATCTTTTAAATGATTTACTTTTTTTCCTTGTTCAGATGTATCTTGATCATCATTAAAAATCATATCAGCACCTTTGGCTTCAGCTAAACGCATGCCTTGAATAATTGTACCTGCTAAAATAGCACCAGGACCAACTTCTCGTTCAGGATGATGTTCACGTGGTTTAGGTAAATTAAGTATACATGAATGTGGACACATAAGAACTCTAGAAATATAATTTAATTCTTTTTAATATAAATATTTTTCTAATTATAACATACGAGCATGGATGTAAATTTCCTTCAAGTAAACGTCGGCGTGTTTCTTGAACATGAATTGTACCCGAATGAGTCTAATAACAAGAAATAAAATTAATAAATATATAATACAGAGGAAAAAAAAAGAAAGTCTATTTCAATTACTTTAGGTAATGTATTTGCTGGACATAAAGCAAGACAATAAATTCCAACTTGATGTATTGAATCAATAGCTTGTAATACACGACTCATCCATTGAAAACATTCATCTTCACCAATATCTGGTCGTTGTTCAGCAACAATAATTATTCTTTCATCACGTAAAACACGTATTGAAAAAATAACAACACGTGCACGATAAACAACTTTCATTGGTTCAACAGCTAAAGCTGTTGCAATTAAATCATCACTATTATGTTTACGTCCAGCAACTTGCATTAAACCTTCACGACTACCAGTTACAAATAAAAGACCACCCTAGAAAAACAAGATTTAATTTTAAATTAAAATTTCACATTAATTATTATTTGAATAGGAATTATTTCACTTTTTACTAAAAGAAAAGCAAATAATGCTTCAAAATCTGGTTTCTGTTTCAAATAAGCAAAAGAACTAATCTATCCGAAAAATTTTGTTTTGTTTCGAAAATCGATTCCAATAATACAACAAAGGTTTTTTTGATCTAAACTGAACTGTCAGAAAACGTTTTTAGCATATTTGAAATCGAAATAAACGTGTCGAACTTTATTCTTGAACTACTTGTTTTTTTTTGGAGTCTATTGTTACAAATATTTAATTTAACATACCGGTCCAAGAAATCCAAGTAAACCAGATCGAACAAATTCTTGTGTACCAATTGGTCTTTCATCTGAACCTAATGGTATTACTTTAAAAACATTTGTTGATAAGCCTGGTAATGCCCAATAACCATTTGGTGTTGCTTTTGATGATATAACAACTTCACCAATTTCATCTGTTTGACAAAGTAATGGTGGTCCATCAATTTTAACAATACCAATAATCGCACCAGGTAATACATGTCCAACATCTTGTATAGTTAATGATGTTAAACTATTATCCTGATCAACACGTACAACACCATAACTTAATGCATGCATTGAAAGTATTCCACGACCTGATTGATGTAATGATGATGATGAATGATATTGCCGTCGTATTGATAATGTCAATGTTTCAGATGAATATGAACAAGGACAACAACAATACGACGG